CAGTCCTGTCTCTGCATATTACCCTAGATTTCTCAATTACATTGTCCACTTGATTTTCCTAGTTACCTGTGACATGAGATTTCTTCCAGTCTTAAAAAAAAACTACTGGTGGCGCAGCGGGTTAGGACGCAGCACTGCAAGTTGGCCGCAGCCACTTTAGTGCAAGTTCGATCCCCAGCCATGAAGGTGACCCACGTGGCGCAACAGACCTCTCCTGTCTCACCCGTCGCTCCCCGCAGCAGTGTACTTCGTCAGTCAGCCTGCTCTGCTCCCCACTCTGTCTCTGGTGAATCCTCTCACTGCCCCTGCACCTCTGGCCTGTACCCCAGTTCTGTATGCATACATAAATAAATCTTTTTTAAAAAAATAAAAAGAAACTCCTCTTCAGTACTAACCTTCAAGTCACAGAGTGATGAAGGGCTTTTTTTCCCCTAACTGAAACTTGAAACAGCAACTTCTAGAGTTGAAGACTAGGCATGAAATGTTAATAACTTGAGACACCTATCGAAGACCCAGAGAGCCAATGAAAAGACCTCAGCTCGTTAAGACAACAGAGCGTGGCACACAACAGTGCCCAGTTCTCTTTCGGAAAGAAAAGCCCCCCAGAATAGTGGGCCTTGCACCCTGTGTGACCCCACAGTGTTCCTGTTTCCCGCCATGGATTCTAACAGGTTTTCAGGGACCAGCCAGTGGCAGTGAGAGTGGTCTCAAGAAGGAGCAGACCCTCTCTCATCTTGCTGTGTTATAGAGGAATATGTAACCCTCTTGCCTGCCAGAGAGAATGAGCCAGAAATGCCCATGGCCTTCCAGGCTGGTGTTGGAGTCCAAATGGGCTATCAGACTTCAGAGGCCCCACTTGAAGGGATGAGAATTGTGTGTTAACAGGTATCCAGAAGACACTAGAATCCTGTTCAGTTCCATTTCTGTCCCCTTTATGAGGGCTCTCGAAGCTTTTTTCACAGCCCAGCTAGCCAGGCTCTAAATACAAAGATCTAGACTTCTGTGGTGAGCCAACAAGTGGGATCTACCGGGCACAGGATAGTGTGACCTGCAAGAGCAGGCCTAAGGCCCAGTGAGGGCCTGGATCGTAAAGCTCCTCGTCCAGGTTCCCCAGAGGGAATTCCAGGTTGGGGTAGACTTTACTGTCCAAGTACGGGAGTATTTGTGACCTCTAAAAAGGGCGCAAAGCCCCAGCTGGGGCAGGGGGAGGGAGGTATGCATAGCAACCCAACAGCATCTTGGGCTGGCAGGTGAATGGAGAAGGCCAGATGGATGCTGCCTGTCCCTGTGCTGGATACACCAGCATCTGGGCGGGTTCCCCAGGTCCCGGCATGGGATGTCGGGAGGTGTTTTCCCAATGGAATCAGCAACTCTGGGATCATGTCTCTGTGCCTTCTTAGCCACACCCCTTCCACCCTACAGCAGGGCCAGCCGGTTCCATGTGGCCATCCACTGCCCACGCTGGGGCTGGATGGGAATGAGTCCAGCTTGGACCTGCCCCTCATTGTGCCGCAGAATGAAGAGGCCCAGGCCTCCCTTCTGCAGAACCGCAGTCACTCTGGGCTGCACGCCCTTCCCCTGTTTCGTCCTCTTCCTAAGTCGCACGAGGCACCTAGAGGGCAGACTGTCCTGCTCCCCCTCGGGTTTCCCAATAGCAGCAGGCTGGGTGTGGACCTGTCTCGCTCCTGGTGAACATACACGGACTTCCTGGTGCAGAACAGAAAGGCCGCAGCACCAAGACCCAGCACGGGGTGTGGATCTAGCTGTGACTCATTAGCTGGTGTGGGGCTGGGACTGAGACTTGAGTGTCTCCCAGCAGAGGGGTCAGTCACGGCCTTGCCTTACAGGGACAGGCAGGGTTTATTATGACTGGCTTCTCTGGCTTTTGTGGTAGTGTGTGGCCCGTCTACTTCTTTACCCAGTAGACAATGAGTGTTGATTCCGGGCCCAGCCAGTGTGGCATGCTAGGTGTATGTACAGAAAGCCACAGTCCTTAACTATGAGAACCTGTTGTCTACTGTAGAAACAAGTACAGTTTGGAACAGATGTGGGCAGTACTTGGGACCAGCGTAGGAAGTGGCACACGTTGTGCACTGCCCAACTCTTCGGGCATATGCACACGCCGTGACATGAGTGAACTCACTAGAGCTGTGGTGAGCAGTCAGCCCAGCTGCCGCGGTTCCTGAATACCCTTTCACAGACCTAGCAGAGACTGTAGGCTGTCAAGGAAGGACCCACTCCCTGACTTAGGAGCTGAGGGAGAGGAGGTTGTTGGTGTTGATCAGGTTGTGGGTGGTTTGCCCCAAGTAAGAGGCTTAAAGTGGGTCTTGAAAGGATGAGCAACGAGTCTATGCCCAAAGAAGAGGGAAGGGTGTGCTGGGCAGCGAAAAGGGTATTTGCCAACCTTTAGAGACGGGGGCTGGGGAGGGTCGTAGGGAAGGGAAAGGAGCCAGGTTAGTAAGAGGCTAGGAAGGTCTTCTAGGCCAGAATTCATGTGAAGGGGGTGGAGAGAGGAAAACATCTCAGAGGCAGGGTAGGGCAGGGCTTCGTGACAGATGGGGGTGACTCTTGGACTCGGTGACCTGAGCAGTAGTGACAGGACCCTCTGACCGCCTCGCCCTCCTGAGGCCACCCAAGGTAGACACTCTGAAATGGATATGCAGCAGCTGGCAGGACCTCAGAGGCACTCGGCTCCAGGAGGCAGGTCGCGTCACGACATATTTATTCCCCATTTACACACAGGCCAACGCGGCCTTCTGCTGGTGTTTATGTCCTGCCAGGATAATTTATGTCTATTTCTGGAGCATCCCTCACAGCCAGGAGGGCATGGGATGCAGGCCCCGCATCTGTTTGACTGCACAGGGCTCCCCCGCGGCTGGCGGCCACTCCCCGCCCCCCGGGGAGAGCTTGCTCACAGCAGTCTGTGACGGGTGGCCTCCAAGGCCTCTGAGCGTGTGAGGGTCCCTGAGAAGAAGCTCGGTCAGACCAGTGATTGCCACTTACTAAGGTGATAATTTGCTGTTGTCCCCAAGCAATTATAGATTTCATTTGTCCAGGCAATAGTTGCAAATTGGATGTGGGACAGGCAGGGACAGAGATGTAATTTGAAAACCAAAGAGCTGGAGGGAAATTGAAGAGTGTGTGCTGTTGCCGACGGTCGGGGAGAACAGGGAGAGCCGGCCACCTCACTGATGAGCCTGGCCGGCGTGCTCTGTAGGGCTGGCTTGGAGTAGGATTCGCCCTTCTTCGAGTGCAGTTCTCTGCATTTTGACAAGCATGCTCCAATAACCGCCACCACAATCAAGATACCCAAAACTCCCATCACCCCAAAAATCTCCCCAGGACCCTGGGGAACGACTATTCAGCTCTCTGTCCTCATGATCATGCCTCTTCCAAGACATCCCATAACTGGGCTCAGAGTATGTAACCTTTGAGTCTGGCTTCTTTAACTTATTAACAAAATGCATTTGAGACTGATCCATGTTATTGCACAAACCAGTCATTCTTTCCCTTTTATTGCTGACTGGTATTCCAGGGCGTGGCAGTGCCAGTTTAGATCTTCTCCAGTGAAGGAGGGACATTTGCATGACTGCCAGTTTGGGGAGATTCCCATACAGACTGCACGTGTGCGTGTGGAGCTTTGTGGGTCAGGTCTCCTCCCTTCCAGGGCAGGGGGGACCGCTGAGACCTGGCCCATGGGTGTTTCACTTTATAAAAACAAGCAGCGGGCCTCCCTGGTGGCGCAAGGGCTTTGTTAGGTCTCAGCACTGTGAAGCTGGCCACAGCCACTGCAGCAGGAGTTCGCAGTTCCGCCAGGAAGCTGACCCATAAGGCACAGCAGCCCTCTCCTGTCCCGCCCGCTGCTCCCCTCAGCAGTGTTTGTCAGCCAATCTGCCTGTTCTGCTCCCCACTGTCTCTGGTGAACCCTCTCACCCCCTGTACATTTGGCTTGCACCCCAGTTCTTGTGTGCATAAATAAATAAATCTTAAAAAAAAACAAACAAACATTGTTTTCCAGCTGGCTTTACCATTTTGCATCCTTACCCAGTCCAGTTTCCCTTGCTCCCTGTTCCAAGTGAAATTTGAAAGAAAAAGGGTGTAAAGAATGCGGCGCAGGTGCTGTTGATGGGGCCTCTGTATTGCCGGGAAGGGGGGGTGCAGAGGGAGACGCTGTGGCCGCTGTGGCCACCCCTGCAGTGCTGCACACACTTCAAGGAAGCTCTGTCGTTTTTTGTCTTTGTAGAAGCACTTACCTTTGTAGGCGTTCTCATCGGGCCTCTTGCTGTGTGGCTTCCCGTGGTGGGTGGGGTTTACCCAACGGCACAGAGCCCGTGCTGGGCCTCACACGGGAGAGCAGCAAAGTCCCATAAGTGACCACGCGGAGATTCCTTCGCCCTGTTTGGGCAGCAGCATCTGGGGGACAGACAGATGTGAGGAACGGTGACCCTCCCACCCAGGGACAGCAGCCACAAAGCCCAGCCCGTCGGAGCCCTGTGGCTCTGGTCCACAGAGTCAGAGTCCCTGCCGGCCCCTGGTCTCCTTTGGGGGAAATTGGGCTGATAAACCTCAGGCTGGGCAGCAGCACCAAAGGCAGCCTGCCCCCAGCTCCTCACAGATGGCCACACCCCTCTCTGCCACCTTGTGATTAGGCCTTAAGCAACAGTGGGAACATTTGCAAACAGGGGAGGGAAGTAGGAGCAGCAGAGGCCCAGAGTCAGGTGAGATCCACGAAGCATAGTTGCTCTGCGTGACTCCCTGCAGTTCCGAGAAAAGTGGGATCCGAGAAGCTTAAGGGTCCCCCAAAACCGGGGCCTGAGACCTCCTGAATCAGAACTTGCGGCTGGACAGAGACAAGGAAGAGACGGGCAGCTCGCCCTGTCTCCTGGCAGCCTGGGCAACAGCTCTGAGGAAACCAGCTGAGTCGTGGGTGGCAGCTGCCCGCGTGCCACCAGGAGCTGTGAGGACCGGCCCGACATCCTGTGTCTGTCTGTCCTCCCCAGGTGCAAGTTCTTCAGTCTGACGGAGACGCCGGAGGATTACACCATCATCGTTGATGAGGAGGGCTTCCTGGGTAAGTGCTGTGCTCGCCTGCTGGACCGAGCTCGGCCTGACGTCTTGCTGGCTGCCCGCCTCCTACTTCTGCCCTCACCTGCTGGAGAGTCTGTTTCTTCTGTCCCTGTGCCCTGGCTGGTCCTCACCCTCTCTCGTTGGGCAAGGCCCCAGAGCTGACAGGGTCAGTGAGACAGCTGCAGGAACTAGCGAGGCCCAGAAGGTAAGCCCCTGTGAGGGGGACGCCTTACAGTGTGCTCAGGCCCTTTGGAGCCAGCCCCAAGGATCCCCCCATCCTTCTGTGACTTCCCTCTACTTTTCCCCACTTTTGTGAACTGAGCTACAGTTCACATAACCTGGAATTCATCGTTTTAAAGTCTCCACGTTCGTGGTTTTGACATCCACAAGGTCGCGGTGCCATTGCCACTGTCGAGTCCAGAACATTCTCGTCGCTGGTCCCCCTGGCTCCCAGTCACTTTCCACCCCCCACCCTGTACCTCGTTCAGTGTTAACATTGATCACGTTGACCCTGCTGTAAAGTAACGGCGAACATGTGCTTGCTGGCAGCCAGTTCATTTACCAGGAGGTGCTGGTGTGCACCCCGTCAGTGAGATGCCAGGGACGCAGCCACATGGTCTGGCTGGCCCCCAGAAGCTGGCGTGCAGCTGAGTCACATAGTCCAAAGGGTGCAAAGTGCACACAAAAGTCAACATTTTTTCGTCCCACCTCGGAGACAAGGAGGAGTGACTAGGTGTCCTCGCCATCTTTTCCATGCACAGGTGGTTTTTAATTCACTTACAGCGCATGTTATATACTTTATATTATACATTACGCATTACATACCGCATGTGCAGTGTATCTGTTATATATACTGGACCCTGGCAAATCTGCCAGGCTTCTTAGCTCAGTGCCCTGCAGTTAGAATTGAAGTTGTTTTAATTGTTCTCCATGAAGAAATGTCTAATCTCCTTAAATGTATAAATTTATTCTGACTCAAGTTGACGTCTGAAATGAGGTTTGAGAAATGAGATTAATGGGGCTAAAATTTTATGCTTCTTGATTCACGCTGTTGGGTCTAGTGGGTGTGTTACTGGTGAGAAGCAAAGGCCCAGGGGAAGCCCCTACCTAGCCCACTCCCAAGCGCCTGACCCAGGGCCTGCCCGGGGCTGGCCTGCCTCCCACACGGCGCGCCCTGGTCTGCTGGGGTGACTGCCCAGCCAACAGTAGCATCTACTAGGGAGTACACAGGCCGGGATCAGCCTGAAGAGTGCTTGCAAGTGAGAAAACTCAAGCTGGCAGCCTGGAGTCACTAAGACAAGATAGAAATGCCTTCAGGAAAAGGTCCTGAGTGGCTGTGGGGCTCCTAACCTACCTGGCCCAGGTCAGGAGCAACCAGAGGGGTGGGCTCTCCAAGGCAGGGGTGGGGTGAGGTGGGGGCGGCCGGTGGAGGCAGCGTCTGGCCTCAGCCTCAGCCGGCCTGGCCCTCACAGGAAGCTGCACTTCAATCAGGGCTTTGGCCTGCCGCTGGCTCAGCGGGGGTTGCTGCCGCGGATGCTGGGTGAGGGGCACCCTGCTTCAGCCTGCAGACTGCACACCTCACGGGCTGCTGTTCACATCTCCGGTGTCTTGGTTGCCGCCTACCTGTCTGGAAGCTGCTGGACCTTTGCTGGAGGACAGTGTGATCGTCAGAGACCGTAACCAGATAGGGCCCCACGAAGGTGGAGTTAAGAGGCTCTTGGCTCAGGTGGCTGCTGCGTGTCTGTGAAAGTGTGGGCTGCTCTTCCACACGGATAGTGCGCAGAGCAGGCAGCGTCAGAGACCCAGCATACTGTGAGCAGCAGCCCCTGCCTGCCCTCTGGGCAGTGGAAGGAAGCTTTGGTTTACAGCTAAAGGGACTCTGTTTATACCCCCACCCCACCCCACCCCACTAGGGGGTTCTGTCCTTATGAAGAGGAACTTTTTTGTAACTTCATCGTTAAATATAAATGGTGCTTAGACGACTCCTGCTGTCCAGGCTGCCTGGCTCATGCCCAGCACACAGGCCTGAGGGGAGTGCCGGGTTTCGGCAGTGAGGCAGGCCCTGGGCACCCTGGCACTGGGTGGCTGCTGGGGCTTCCTGCTTTAGATGGCAGGGTAAGGCGCTCCCAGCACTCCCTGGGAGGTCTCACAAGGCCACTGGTCCGGGAGCTGAGGAATCTTCCTGCTACTGTGGAGCACAAGCAGAGACAGCAGACAGGGAAGCCTACAGCTGGGGGCTTTTCAGCCCCTCCCTTCCCCCTCCCTCCCTTTCTGCTTAGCTGCCTGCCTCCAGCCTGCCTGGGCCAGGACTGCCCTTCTCAGCCTGCAGGGCCAATGGGCTTGTAGGACTATGGTTGCCATGGTGACCAGAGCTGGGCAGGTAGAACGTGGGGCCTCAAAAGCCATCTTGCCTGAGGCCAGCACTTAACCAACAGCATCATCATTGTCGTCACTGCCCTGGTAATGCGGTAATGCAGTGTCTGGGTCCTTGGTCTTGGTTGCCTCCCTGGGAGACCCATCTCTTCTTCCTCTTGCTACCCAGAAAAGAGCAGGGGTGGGGTGGATATAATCAAACCTGGATTTGAATCTTAATCATCTCAGTCAAATCAACAGCCTTTCCAGAACTTGAGTGTATCACTAGGACGGTGGAACTAACAGTCCCACCTCCTTGGCCAGGAGGTGCTGCCTGAGGGTGACCCACGTTCCCTGTGCCTTAACCCCCACGCTGTGCCCAGCCTGTGAGGGTGAGCAGGCACTGTGGTGCCTGGAGAGTCCCAGATGCAGCGTGTGCTCGGCCTGGCCGTGCCTCTGAAGACAATCGCATGTGCACCCACGTCCCAGGCTCAGGCCCCTGGGGGCTCTTTCTGCAAGGTGGTACGGGTGGGTTGCAGCATTTGCACCCCACATCTTCACAAGCTAGTGGAGGAGACTCTGAGCCCCCCTCGCCCCAGCTGCTGACACCCCCACACAGTGTCAGTGCCAAGTTCAGGAAGGCTGGTGACCGTCACTGACCCCAGAGCGCGGCGTCTTCCAGAGCATTCCTGGGGCATATGCGTCTGATTGGAGCACGAGAGAAATCCCAGCCCCACCCTGTCATCTCCTGGGCTCTATTGCGCACCAGACGCTCAGGAGGAACCCAGGAACCCAGTTTGGAAACCACAGGGGCCTGTTCCACTGGTACGAGGTACTTGGTGGTGGCAGGACCCAGAAGAACAGGGAGAACTAGAAATCAGAGTCATGACTGGCTGCGCTGTCATTTCATGGCTGAGGAACCGAGGCCCAATGCAGATAAGTCACTTGTCTTTGCAGCACCTGCCCTGCTCAGTGCTCCCAGGAAGAGACTATGGAGGCTGAGAAACCACCTCTGGTGGGGGGAGGGGGGCGGGGGCGCTCTGGCCCCGGGAGGGCCTGGCCATGATCACACGCTGCGTCTGCCCCGGAGCCCAGCATTCACGGGGCTCCCTTCTGTGTCCCCCTCCAGAGCTGCCCTCCTCTGAACACCTGAGTGTGGCAGACGCCACCTGGCTGGCCCTCAACGTGGTATCTGGAGGCGGCAGTTTCTCCAACTCCCAGCCCATCGGCGTGACCAAGATCGCAAAGTCGGTCATCGCGCCCCTGGCCGACCAGAACATCTCAGTGTTCATGCTCTCCACCTACCAGACGGACTTTATCCTGGTGAGTCCAGCCCTGTCTCAGGGGACTGGACACCCCTCGAGGCCTGCCAAGTCTCTGGCCCCCACCCCCCAGTCAGGGAGAGATCAAGTGAACCTTGGTGCCATCACCGGGCTCCCAGGCTGGAGTCCAGGGCTCCACCTCCAGCCCTAGACCCACCTAGCCTTAGAGGACTCTGCTTGATTTGACTGGAGGCCAGGAAGTGAGGGCCGGGGTATGGGGCGCCTCCCAGGTGGACTCCAGGCTCCCCACCTCCCTGAATCTCCCAAAGTGGCAATATGTCTGGCCCTGGGGGCCAGCAGCATTACCCGGCCACTGTGTCATTCACTTGTGGGGCAGGGCAAGGACGGGCGTGGGCATAGCACTCCAGGGGTGGAGTGGGGCATGGACTTGCCCCTCCTGGTCTGGGCTTCTGGGACCGCAGGACACTCACATCCGTCATCCCCTCCCCAGGTTCGTGAGCGTGATCTGCCCTTCGTCACCCATACCTTGTCATCAGAGTTTACCATCCTGAGGGTTGTCAATGGTGAGACAGTGGCCGCTGAGAACCTGGGCATCACCAACGGCTTTGTGAAGTCCAAGATGGGTATGTTTGGGGGCCCATGCTGGGGAGACCACAAGAACTTACAAGGACCTGCCCCAAAGCAGCCCCGTTCTCCAAGCACCGGGTGCAACCTGGTATAGCAGTCCTCGTCAGTAACTGCTTCTGAGTCTAGCAAGTGATAGCCCTGGGCCACTGCGGACGCCATCAGGGGGACAGAGCAGGTGTCAGAGGCAGTGACCCTGACCTGAAGTATGGAGTGCAGGTAGCAGGTGAGGTGGGGGAACAGTTGGGGAGGGAAGGCCAGAAGGACAGCTCGGCACATGTCAGTGTCCGGTGGCCTAGTGGCGAGCCTGGAGAGTGAGCTGGTGGAGAGGCTGAAGAGACAGGGTCTCGGGGCCTCCCCAGGGCCGCTGCCACCTGAGCCCGCCGCGGCCCCTGTCCAGCCAGCTTCAGCCCGTTCTCTCTGCACTCGCAGTCCAGAGGCCCGTCATCCACCCGCTGTCCAGCCCGAGCAACAGGTTCTGCGTTACCAGCCTGGACCCCGACACGCTGCCTGCCGTTGCCACACTGCTCATGGACGTCATGTTCTACTCCAACGGGTAGGACCTCCGTGGCGTGGGGCTGCAGGGCCCAGAGGAGACGGGGGCTTCTCAGAGAAGGTCAGGGAGGACCAGGCCCGCCTGAGAGCCAGTCGCAGAAGGGAAGACATGACTACACAAAGCCTGTTCTGAGAGGAGCAGCCTTCCTGGGGAACCCCCAAACTTGTTGAAGACACAGGTGCCTTTGTAGGTGCAGTGAACACCCGGCTGTCCCCTGAGCTTGGAAGGCAAACTCCTCAGTTGAGGAGCCAAGAACTCAGGTTTTTTTCACTCAGCAGAAAAAGGCGTGTTTCTCCTCAGGGCAGATTTTAAGTTTAGGCCAAACACAGGTGCAATGGAGCCATTGTCTGGTGGGCTGGCAGTGGCCACAAAGTGTACCCTAGATGCGGGCCAGTACAGAGACCCTGTCCGGGAATGGGGCGTGTGCTGGAGCCAGCAGGGCCCAGCACTGCGCATGCAGTCACCACGTTTCACAGAGGAGGCGGAGGGCTGGATGCGGCTTAGGGCCGCCGGTAGGGTCAGGGCCACGGTGGAGCGCGGCCCCAGCTTCCCAGGCTGTTGTTCCTCCCAGCATCCCACGCTGAGGCCAGTGGGCAGGCAGGAGAGCCTGGTGGGGTCGGGGTGCAGCGGGGCCTGCCTCTCACCAGCTTGCCCGCCCCCAGAGTGAAGGACCCCCTGGCTGCTGGCGATGACTGTGGCCACATCCGCTTCTTCTCCTTCTCCCTCATCGAAGGCTACATCTCCCTGGTGATGGATGTGCAGACCCAGCAGAGGTGAGCGGGAGCCAGGGTGAGGGTCACGGGGTGGGCCAGCTTTATGAAGGGCCTGTCACTACTGTCCCTAATAAGCCCTTCACCTTGGAGACCCATCCTAAAGATGACAGGCAGCTCAGGGAGGCGGAGGGGTGTCTCAGGGCTGTAGTTAGTGGCAAAGCAGAGATGTAAGCCAAACCCTGGGGCATCTGGGGGCCAGCGTGGGGGGGGTGCATGCTGGGTGGTGTGGGGTTTGTTTCAAAGCCCACCTTAGCTTTGCTTTCCTGTCTGCACCACCCCTCACCCCACAAAGGTCCAAGTGCACCTCTGGCTGTCATCAGCTCCCTAAAGACAAAGAAGGTTCGACGGAGCTGGCCAAAGACGCACACTTAACATGAGCTTGGGCTTATCCTCTTGCTCTCTTTTAAGGTTTCCTAGCAATTTGTTGTTCACGAGCGCATCTGGAGAGCTCTGGAAGATGGTGCGGATCGGAGGACAGCCCCTGGGCTTCGGTGAGCCCCATCGCGTTCAGTGCGGGGAAGGGCGAGGCGAAGGGAGGTTTCTAGCATGACCAGGTGCCTCTGCGTTCCCAGCCCAGGTATCTGGACCCGATGGCCTCGGGGGGCTGGTGCTTAGGGAGCCTCCAGTCCCCACTGCCTGCAGGCCCAGTGTGACGGGGGGGCATCGAGGGCAGACTTCATCAAAAGCACTCTTAATTTTCCCCCAGTAGAAAATTAATACCAGCTTCTGATTAGAAAACTGGGGGCATGATAAGAATTACAAAGGGAAACAATTACTCCTTATTCCCACTGCTCAAAGGTAATGATTGATCTTGATTTTAATGAGTTTTCTTCACATAAATACGTATAAGGCTGCACATCCCAGCAGGTCCAGGCACGCCAGCCCTTTGCCCAGACTCCTCTCCTCTGTCCGAGGAAGAAGCACTTTCTCTACAGAACTTTAGTCACGTGACCCCACAGAGAGGAAATGGGCAGGTGCTCCCCGGGGCCCAGGCTAGCCTCAGTTTCCACAGTTATCCTAGAAGTGTCTTTGGTGGTTCTTTCATAAGCGTTTTTGGGGTGGACCACAGGCTTCAGGCCCTGGTCAGAATCTGTGAACCCTGGTTTTCTATGACAGAGTATAGAATGTCCTAGATAAAGCTCAGACTGGCCCAGGGGGCCATCCGATCAGCCACTGGGGCTCCTGGACACAGACATGTCAGGTCACCTTGATCTGGGGGTGAGGGGTCACTGAGCAGGGCAGGTCATGGCCACTTACCTATACCTTCCCTAAATAAGCTAGAAGGTGGACTTTAGCCAGCAGGCCAGACAGCTCTGCAGACTCTGCTCACATCAAGGCCAAACCACCCTGGAGGTGATAGCGGGCTACTCTGGAGCACTGAGAGGTCTACCCTGGGACCTCCTTCTCCAGACCCAAGCAAGGTGTGGCCACTGGTGGCCTGGAACTCGCCCATGAGGGAGGCTGCCAAGTCCAAGGTGGACTGACAAGAGCGGAGAAGACACTGGGGTTGAAGGGAAGGTGGCGCCCAGGCTAATTGGCAAGCTCCAGCTTCGGAATCCCCTGGGGAACTGGTGACTAGATCTGAACTCTCACCAGGTGAGGCACTGTTGGGGAAATGTGTTATGGCCCAAGTCGGAGCAGTGGCCAGAAGAGAAGTAGCGTGGGGGATTGTGTTGGGGAACAGTGGCTCTCAGATCCTGGAGGTCTCCTACAGGGGGAAGCCTGGCTGTGTCTTCAAATCAGGGTGAAGCTAGGCACGAAGGGAACATCACCCCCCAGTCCACCAAACTGGCTGAAGCTTTGGGGAGGCCCCCCCTGCTTTCGAGGGAGAAGGAAGCCACATCTCGCTCCCAACTACATGCCTAAGTGTGCCCTGAGGGCAGGCAGGGGCCAGCGTCTGGTGAAGACTGCAGTGAGGAAACTGAGGCTCACAAAGTGACTTGACCACAGTCATGTGACTATAAATGGCGGGGAGAAAGAAAGGAGGGGCCGGCATGCCTGCCCCCGGCTCTGTCAGAGAACTGGCAAGACACAGCAGGACCGTCTGGAATAGAAGCACAGAAGCAGGCAGGAGACCAGAGTGGGACAGAGCCGGGGCCTCAGGGTCCCGCAGGGGTCCCGCTCCCTGCTAGCCAGGAAGAGAGCAAGCCCTCTGGGTAGAGCCTCTGTGCTGGGCCTTCACAGTGGGGAGAGCTTCTCTAGGAAGACTGAGGGTGCAGGGCACGCACTGGCAGCAGAGCGAGGCTGAGCTGCAAGGGCGTGGGGGGCGCTGGCCGGGGCCCTCGGAAGTGAGGCCAAGAGCCGGCTGAGCCTGGTCCCTGCCTCTTGCCTAGATGAGTGTGGCATCGTGGCCCAGATCTCCGAGCCCCTGGCTGCTGCGGACATCCCCGCCTACTACATCAGTACTTTCAAGTTCGACCATGCACTGGTGAGTGACCAGGGCCGTGCCCCTTCCCTCCCTAGGGCAGCAGTGTCCAGGGCTCATAGATGTTTGCTTCCTGCCCCGTGCAGGTACCAGAAGAAAACATCAACGGTGTTATTAGCGCCCTGAAGGTCAGCCAAGCAGAGAAGCATTAGAAGGGCCTCTTCTGCTCCTCCCTGTCTGCCCCAGGCCTGGGCCCAGCCCCCACCCTGAAGATTCTTCTTGCAGTATTTCTTGATGGACTGGAAAATCAGCCCCGGGGTCCCCGAAGAGGAGGCCTCTGGGAGACACCCCTGATCGCTGACCCACCAGGCCTAGGACTTAAGCTGAGGCCTCCCCATGCCCTCCTGCCTTCTCAGAGCCCCCCCCACCCCGCCCCCCAGACCCTCCAGAGAGCCGCCTGCCGCCGCCTCCTGTCCCCATCCCAGAAGACGGTGTCTGGGGTCTAGGGAGCTTGTGAGCTGCTGCTCCGCCTCCTCATCTGGCCTCACCCACAGCTGGAGGCAGATGCCGAAGAAAGCTGGCCCTTCCCACAAGACATGGGGTACTGATTTTCATGTTGTCTTGGCGGGGGCTGGCCAAGTGGGACTGAGTTTGTAGAGACTGAGAAGACCCCCACGAGGGTGGGGGCTGGGTGCTGTGGTCGCTGGTGTCTGGCCCCGTCAGCTCGGGGCTGGTTCCCGCAGAGTGGAGGCCAGAGTGGGTGGCCCTCAGGTCACATGGCTGGTGAGACTCCCCCAGGAGCCGAAGGGTCAAACCCAGGACCTGAGCCACCCAGAACCTCACCTGCCAGCCACAGGGCCTGTGCCCCAACTCCCAGCAAGACTGCCAAGAGGGGCCCTGTCCAGACCCTCCCCCACCACAAACCCTCACTCCTGGGGGTGGTTCCCAGGGGTCCCACCAGCCTGGGGCATGAGCCCCTGTTCCCTCTGCTTTCCCTGGACCCTACTCGGGCCGGCAAAGCCTCAAGTTTCCTCCAAGTGGGGGCATTCCCAGCATTCTAGACCTGGGTTTCTTGGGTCACCCCACCTCCTCAACAGTTGAGTAGACCAGCATAGGCCTCCCCCGTCATCCTGCCCCTGCCCCAGTTTTGGGGGGCATGGAAGGCCTCTGCCCCCAACTCACCTGCCCGCCACCCAGTCGGGGACTGTGGCACTCACAAGTACTTGACCTGGGAGGCAGCTTAACTGAGCCTTAATAGAGAAAACCATACCTTGTTTTAGCTTCTTATTTAATGTGTTCGCGCCCAGGCTGTGGTTGGCAGCAGTTTTGGGGATGGGGCCTACAGAACTCGGGGTCTGGAAGCCCAGCATCACCGGCTGGCACCTAACTCCAGGCACAAGCGTGAGAATCGGGAACCGCCCCAGGCGCCCACCGGCCGCCCACACAGGCGCCTGGGCATCCTGCTTCCTTCTGAGCATCGGGACCCAGAGCCCACAGGAAGTGGACAGCCAGGTGCAGGCCAGCCACGGTGGCCTCGTTCTCCGGACAGGGAGAAGGGGCTCAGCCCCCAGGCCTCGTCAGCAGGGGTGTTTTCAGACAGACAGGGCCCACTGGAGCTCAGGCCCTCTGTGTCGTTTCTCTGGCGGCCTCTGGCCTGGGCTGTTCTGAGAGGGCAGAGCCGCGGCGATTCCCCAGCCCGGTGAAGTTTATGTGCGCCCCTGCGTGGGACCCCGCGCCCTGGAAGCCGCTGTAGAGGAGCCATGAGTCTGCATCCTCGCAGACGCCCAGGGCCCAGGCACCGATCAGGAACCCACTCTCTTCTTAAGTTAATTCATTTTGCACAAAACTCCAAAATAACCAAAACGTGTATGTTGTTTGCTGGTTGCAAAACTCGGGTGGCCGAGCGGGCGGGCAGTGCTGGATGCCCTGGGCCCCTTTCGTCCTCGGAAGGCCTTGAATTCCCGTGGCGCGCCCCTCCACACCCACCCCTGTCAGCGTCCCTATCGCGTCGCCTCCTACCCCACCCCGCCGTGCAAGTGTCGGTCCCGTGACCCCAGAAATGTGTGCTCTCTAGACCCTAGGACGTATCTATTGTACACACCTATAAATACCTGTGTTTTATGTCGATATAGATATATACTGTAAATAGCATATATACTTGAGCAATATATATGTTAATATATACTGTGTGAGCACGCCCGCGTGTTTGCGGGGCGCGGGCACAGCCCCGCTGTGTGTGCGTGCGAGGCTGAGGGCTCCACCCTGCTGTGTCTGCCGTGCACACACGTTTTGAGCCACCATAAGATTTTTAATTCAAGTATATAGGCAATATGCTGATTGGACAAGCCGCAGGCTCCCTCAGCTCAGACTTGAGAGAAAAACAAAACCAGCAGCCCAGGAGCCGAGCCCTGGGTGGGTGTGGGTCCCTGCCCCCCACCCCGGTCCCCCTTGAAAGCTAGTTTTGCCCCTTCCCTGCATCCCAGCCCCCCAAAGTCTAGCCAAGGTCCCTGGAAACCCGTGTTTTATTGGGGGTACAGAGGGAAGAGGAGTTGGACCGTCTTGCTTTTTAGCAGAACCATGCCCCCTTCTCAGTAGTCTCAACCTGCAGACCCAGGCCAGCTGAGCACCCCCTTCCCACCCCCTCTCAGCTGTCCATCCTGGGTCCTCTCCCCACCTATGGCTGTTTTCATGCTGAGTCTTTTCACTGGCAAGCTTAGATGCCTCAGGCTGTCTCCCCAGGCCTGGTGACTGGCCCATTCTCACTGTAAAGGGGTGTTTGCCTTGACCTTGTGTCCAGGGAGTCGCCACCCATGGCCACCCATTTATTTTTCTATTCTCTATGCTGTGTGTGCCAAGGCCGGGTGCATCCTGGTGTCCAAGAGTCTGAGCAGCAAAGTCAGTGGTTCGATCACCACAGCTCTTTGGGGAAGGTTGAGTGGTTTCCCCAGGGGCCAGCTGCCCCCAGCCATCTCCTGGCTCTCTGGGTGGGCACCTCTAGACCACAGGGTCCGCAGGGAGGTGCGTACTGCTCAATGCAGCTCATGTGGCTGAGGGCCTTCCAGCTGTGGCTGGTGGGCTGCGTAGCTGGAGGAGGAAAGCGGGTTGAGCAAGTGGGCGCTGGACTCTGAGGGTCTGTCTTTGCCTCTGTGGGCGCCCAGTGAAAAAGACCAAGCACCTAAATGCTATTGTCACGGCCGTGCCAGGCTGCACACCAGAGTGAGCGCAGGTTAGTCGGAGCTGTGCCCACCACCCCACTGCGACAGAAATCTGACTCCTTGGCTCCCCCACCATGTGGCTCCCAGATCCCTCAGCCCCCAGTCCTGACCTGACAAAGGGGGGCAGAAGGGGCTGCCCACACCACTGCCTCAGCCTAGGGCACACCATTAAGCCAGAGAGACGTGCTAACCCCTTCCAAAATTCAAGGGGTCCAGCATCCCCAAAACCACAAAACCACCAGCACTCTCCCCCTCCCGTCACCTCCAGGCCACAGACCCCTGATGGGAAGGGAGAGAGCTGGGAGGGCCCGGAGCTGCCCCATGCCACCACCCCATGAGGCAGTGTGGCCTGTGACCTGCCAGTGAAGCAGGGATGGTCGTGAGGTGCCACTGGGCTGACAGCAGAGGGCAGGAGAGCGGGCTCTGGGCAGATGCCGAGCAGACCCCCGGCCCAAGTCAGAGGCACCCTTTGCCTGGAATTTGAGGTGAACCTGCATGCGCACCACAGCGCCCTGACCACCTTGCCAGGCCAGTCCCGGCCGTCGCTCAGCCACCTGGGCCACCTTGCTGTACTGTTTCTGCAAATGGGGACGAGGGCTCTTCCCTGCCCCAGCTAGAAGGGGGCTCGCGGTCTCCCAGGTGATGGCAGAGCCGGCCTGCCCGGTGGCTAAGGGATATTTGATGCCGCTGTGGGCTTGGGGTGGGGTAAAGGAGAAAGTATGTCTGCCAACTGGCACATCGGCCCACAGGGACAGGCTTGGTGAGGAGGGGTCTGGAGGGAGCCAGCCGAGCCTCGGACCCTAGCAGATAAGACACCTTCGCCCACACGTCAACACCCATTTGGGCTTGTTTTCTCTTTTATTTTCAAATAAGAGGCAACAAAAGGACAAGCTCAGCTGTGTCTTGTGCCCCCTCCTGTGGGCCTTGGGTGGGCTGTGGCTTAGCTCACAAGCCTGCTCTGTGGGAAGGAGAGGCGGCCTGAGGCCCAGCAGAGCCTGCAAGGCTGGGAGCTGGCCGCCTGGTGGGGACAGGTTCTTGGTCTTGCTTCAGTGCGGGCGGGGAGGCTGGAAGTTGGAAGTACAGGGCAGCCCTGTGCTGAGGGAGGGCCCCGTCGGCTACCTACGCCTGTGTGTGGACATGTGTTGTGTCGCAGCGGTGCGTGGGCACACGCGTGTCCAGAGACCGGGTCTCGGCTAAGGCGCCAATTCGGTTCATTCACTATTGAGTCCTCTAGTGTTCTTCCCTGCGGGGCACGGGGTGGCAAGTGGAGCCTTCCCCTAGGGCCCGGAGCGTTTGACTTCATTAGACATCAAAACTGCTCTGGGGAGGGGCAGGCGCCCCCCAGTCCAGGCGGCCTGTCCACCCAGACAGGCCAGACCTGCCTAGCCGGCTCCTCAGAAACAGCCAGTCCTGAAGACAGTATTCACAGGGAGAGGTGGTGGGTGCCAGCGCCCCTTAGCCTGCCTCTCGGGGTTCACCCAGAAGAGTGTCCAGCAATGCCAGTAACCCAGGGATGGGGAAAAGACGAAAAACAGGCCAAATTCAGGTCCCAAGACAGGCCAAGCTCGGTGCATGTTCCTGCCCACTGCCTCAGTTTATCTTTTCAGAAAATGGTCCAGGAAGAACTGAGCAGGGTTGGCTGCAGAACAGCGGGGCCTGACAAAGCCCCAAGCCCTCCTCTCGCTCTCGCTCTATGCCAAAACCATTTCCGTTACCCTGCAACAAGGGTGGGTGAATGCTGGACGCACAGCAGGGCCCGAAGGGGCACTGCCCTGCCCAGGTCTCGGCCGGGGCCCGGGCATCGGAGTCACCAGCGGGAGCAGCGGCACTCGCATCTGTCCAGCCCTGGGTGGAGGGAGAGCCGGGCAGCCCTGCACCCAGGCCGCACGCTTGACTTTCTTTGTTGAAACACAAAACCCTCGAGATTCATGTACTGTATGACCGAGAGAAAAAGTACCTAATGTTCCCCCAAAAGACAGTATATTTTGTACTTTGTAAAGTGTTCATTAAAATGGAGGAAAAAGACTGGTGTTGGCTGGTGGCTGGCTGCTTTGTGCTGATCGGGGCTGCAGCTCAGCTGTTCCCGCCTTCTCCATGTGGACTCGCCTCCCAGAAACAGGCAGCGGCCCCCAGAGCAAGGGCATCTGTTACCTGTTTCCTGCCTAACAGGTTGTCCCGGCAGCAGACAGTGGCCCGCACTCTCCGACTGTGCCCGTTTCTGTGGGTCAGCTGGAGTGGGGTGCACAGCCCCGCGCGGCCCTCAGGCGGCTGCTCTGGGTCCTGGGGGGCCGGGGGCTCTCCATTCAAGGGGTTTGTGTTGGACCTGGCTTTTGGCCGGAAGTCTCGATTCTTCTCCACAGGAGTCCCTCCCCCACACGGCCTGCCTGGCCCTCCCCGCCCCCAAGCCACGGTAGACGTCTAGCTTCCAAACTCCCGCACACCACCACCATCCCGTCCTCAGCAGCCCAGCTCTGATTTGACCACAGCGTGTGGAAGTCAGGAGGCCAAGGTTACCAGGGGCCACTGAGAACGCGCCGGCTGCTCGTGCACTTTTTCTCCCAACCCTCTGGAGTCAGGGCACGTGGAGCAGGACTGGCCCTCGCTGGTGGCTGCAGAGGAACAAGGACTGGACCCGGCCACGGGGCCTCCTCCCTAAGCCTGAAGCCCTGCCATGGGCATCGCAGCCCTTTAAGGGTTCCTTGATGCTAGATGCTCAGGAACTGAGCTCAGCTGGAGGGAAGGCCCCATGGCCGGCATCCCTCCTACGGGCGCTCTGGCACCCGGCCACCCAGATAAGGGTGGGCCTGAGACCAGAAGTCCCAGCTCTTGACACCCCGCCCCCAGCCCTCTCTGAATGTTCTGTGGAGGGCAGATGTGAGCAGAGCACGCCATGGCCATCCCCCATCCCTGCCCCAGCACTCCCCTGTCCTGCAGAAAGCAACCCTGAGGTGGGAGTGAAATTGAGGACTTACTGCCCTCTCTTCCTGAGCCCCAGAAAGTTCTGACATGCTGTGAGGCATTCCAATTGGGGTTTGCAGACTAAGCGCCCTTCCTAGGAAGCCAGCACATCCATGACCTCGATTGCCACAGTACTCTCAAAACAGTCGCAGAGACCTCCATGCCCACCACTCTGACGTTCCCTGTTACTCAGGCAGCACCAGCCAGGTGCTGAGGACCCAATGACTCCAACACCTGGCACCTGAGCTGATGCGGGTGTACAAAGACAAGAAACAGCTGTTTGTGACCACGGTGCAGTGCCCAGATGGGCCACAAGAGGGTGCAGTGCCAGGGGCTAGGGTCTATGCTCGCGCAGAAGTGCGAGGAGGCACGTCACTGGGGTTCAGCTTGGACACCCGGAGGGCAGAGCAAAGGCTCAGAGGGCTGCAGGCATCTAGCTGGAGGAGGTAAGTAGGAACGGGGGGGGGGGGGAGGAAATGGGCTGATGGGCATAAGGCCGAAGTGCAAGGCGGGAGGGAGCTCAGGTCACCAGGGGCCTTGCTTCCAGCAGGCCAGGGGAGCCGCTAGAACTTCTGCGCTGGAAAACAATCTGACCTCCGAAAGGTGGGCCTGGGTTGTTGAACATGGCTGGCTGGAGGAGCAGAGATAGCCAGAGACTCAGTTCTCAGGAGCAATGACTCTGGCTGGCTCAGAGCAGAGTCTGGGTGTTGGGGCAGTGGTGAATGTTGCACACTGGCCACTGCCCCCCAGTCCTCAGATCCGCGAACGAGCCCCTTCCCAAGCGGGGAAAGCAATCTGGCTGCCTCTTGGCAGTGTCTCACCCCACATTAGATTCTGGAAGCGGGATGCCTGTTTTTAGGGCTCCACCCCGAAATGTGATTTAGTGATTTGGGCTTAAATATGGGCTGAAAAAAGCCTCCACCCTGCCCCCCGGCTCTCAAAAGTAATGAGAACCGCACAAGGCTACAGGAGGAAAGAGCATCACCCAGCTTCCCTGGTTTTCACGTGCAGTTCAGCCAGGGGCGAGGGTGGGTGGGGGCTGATCTTGGTGAAGCAAGCTGGGGGACAGGAAGCTTCACAGGGAGCCGACAGCCACGAAGACCCTTGTTGCGCCTCCAAACCGTACGCCTTAAAGTGGTCGTGTTGTGTGACTTAGGTCTCAATTAAAAAAAAATAATAATAAGGATTGTGGTAGAAAAAGCCCCAAGTCTGGATGCATAGCACGCAGGACGGCCAAGAAGGAAATGATGTGAGTCATTCTGACAGCTCCTGGCTGCTGAAGAAAGTTCCCATGGACAGGGTGGAGGGGAGTCTGGAGAAGAAGGAGAGAGACGGAGGGGGGCTGGGGGCTTCACCTCACCAAGGTCAGTAGCCGGGCATCTCGATTGAGGTACCCCCCTCCCCCCGAGAGCAAGGCCGCAAGCTACTCCAGCGACACCTGTGGCTGCTGTCCACACACACACGCACACACACATGACCTTGGCCCTGAGGAACAGGAAACACCCAGGGAGGAAAGCTGGGAGCCAGAGAGAGTAGGCAGGAGCCTCTCACCAACCTAAGAAGGAACAGCCCAAGCGGCCCTGAGGAAAACAGTACTCAGCACGTTGGAACAGGGAAAGCAGAGTGCAGCGGGGTGCATGAGAGAGACAGGGTCAAGACTGAGGCATTAAACACGTGACCTGGCAATCAAGCCTACTTCTAGGTCTATACTCAAGAAAACACGTTCACACCAGAACCATAACAGAATGCACCAGAAGTAAAATGCTAGACCCATGTAAAATTTGCACACGAATATTTTGGCGTTATTCCTAATAGTCAAAAGTGGAACCAGCCCAGATGTCCGGCAACAGATACGCAAATCGTGATGTCATAGAAACACCTACCTGAGGGTGCTGTCGTCCAGCCAGGGTTTGGGGCAGAGTCCGCCGTCTCCTTCAGCTGCTCGGGGACAGGTGGCCGCACCGGCTTCCTCCATGGTGCCCAGAGATACCCAGAGACACACAGGTGGGCATGAACGTCCTCACCACTGGCAGGTCCTGGCAGACAGCGGGGGCCCTGGAGCCAGGAAGCACCACGGGCACCTTGGCTTCATCTTCACTGTGCCCGGGGGCTCGCAAGTGGGGAACGGCTTGTGGCCGCAAACCTGAGCCCGCCCAGTCTTCCAGCTCCAGGGCTGGACTCCAGCGGGACATTCTTCAGAAAGTCATGGCTTCGTAGGCCCTGCCCTCTGCTCTCCTGGCATTTCAGCTACCACCACAATGAAAGCAAAAATGTTTCTCTGCACAACAAGGTGCCAGTGGGCTCAGTAACAGGAACAGGAAGAGGAAGCGCAGGTTAGCAAACAAGGAGCAGGTGGGCTTGGTAACAAGAACCGGAAGTGCAGGTTAACAAAGTAGGAGAGGGTGGGCTCAATTTTAAAAGTTTCCCTGCTCCCCCATCGGCAACCCCACTCCAGCTATGGTGCATCTTCTTGCCGTGGGCTAACGGTTGAAGATGCCCCCAGTGCCTGGATTTGCCCTGTGAAACGTGAGTGCCTTTGCATCTCTGTAGCCCCAGTTCTGCGAAAAGCACACTAGTCTCCAATGCAGGTTTACCCTGGCTGCTGCTGCTCCAAGTCAGTTACCACGGTGTGTGTGCAAGGTGGGGGTTTCTTAATAGGTGCAGCCTAAGTCTCAACTGGTGATGTGCTGTGCGGGGAGAGGAAAGTTGGGGTCCTCAGAGAAGAAGGAGGTTCCTAGCGCGCAATGGCTAGGCAGGCCAGGCCCGGGGCCCCTGTTTGGCTCCCAAGCCTAGTGCTGCATGCTATCCCCAGGGCCGTGTGACAGCTGTGGCAGGCCAGGTACACTTACGCCATGGCGCTCCATCAGTTCTGATGCTACAGTTTCAGAGGGGACAGCCCTTGGAACAGACAGCGCAATTCACATGCCAGGCAGGTGGGCAGGCCCCGTCAGGTGCTGGGACCTAGGTGTGATGCAAGAGAGTGGTGGGGAGTTTTCACAGCTGTCATCACACTGGACGATGGAAGTGCACAGGGAAGTGCTTCCTGAAATCATGAAAACACAAACTAACCACATTCAAGAATAAGAATGGTTACGAGGGTTCTGCTGGAGTGGCTGAGGTTGACCCAGCAAGAGCTGATGAAAGATTTTGCACACACACCCAGCCCTTAAGTCATGGGAGGTGATGGTTTGTACCTCTAAAGTACCTTAGGAGACCCAAGGCAGGGACCCAAACACCTCAAGAATGACAGTCCTTTAAGTGATGGTGGCAGCCACCTGTCTCCTCCCTGGTCATCCCTTCTACCCAGGCTCTGCACTGGCCTCCGGGCTGGTCCCAGTGTACAAGAATGGTCAGTCAGGGCCCTCCCTGGTGGTGCAATGGGTTTAGGGTGCAGTACTGCAAAGCTGGCTGCAGCCGCTTCAGTGCGAGTTCCATCCCCAGCCCGGGAGGTGACCCACATGGCACAGCAGACCTCTCCTGACCTGCCCGCTGCTCCCCTCAGCAGTGTACTCCGTTAATCTGCCTGTTCTGTGCCCCACTGTCTCTGGTGAATCCTCTTGGTGCCCCTACACCTCTGACTTGTACTCCAGTTCTGTATGCATAAATAAATATTAAAAAAAAAAGGTCTGTCAGTGTAGAAAGCTAAGGGCAGAAGAGCACACCGGGGTTGGCCACAGCACGTCATTCAGGATGCGCCTACACTCGCTAAAGTGAGAGGAGAGTCTGTAGAGACCGATTACTACAGGGGCAAAATGATGAACACAGCAGCCAAGCGTATAGCCTGGAAGGGTTTCCACGTCTATGCACTAAATGCTCAGAGGGGCTGAGAGGGGACAAAGCCGGGAGGGGTCACAAGCACAGAGGATGGCTGCGTAGTGCCTGGTGGTGGGACATGAGCTGGCACAAGAAGCCCCGTGTGCAGGAGGGTGCTGTGCCCATGTAACCCGGCCAGAAGAAACTGGGCTGTAGGACGAATCCAAGGACACCCCGTTCCCACCCCGGCTGCTTGTATGGAGTAGGGGCGGTGATCGGGCGAAGCCGGCTGCCAGCACTCCGGCAGGGGGTAAATTCATTCGTTGCACCATCATGCCCCTGCCAGCTGGGGGTTCCTCTGGAAATCAGTACAACAACCCATTGTCCCTCTGCGGATGGACTGCTCACTACTGGGCGGCATGCTGTGTGGTCCGAGCAGAAGTCTCAGGAAGATATGGTGTCCTGCTTCTAGAGCAAGTTTATGGAAACACTTTGCTGCAGTAAACAGAAGACGTGTCCCCACTCAGGAGTGGTAGGTCACTTGCTCAGTGGTCACTCTGGCTGTCCCTCAGCCAGGTGACAGCACGACCCGCCCACACCCCCATTTTATTTTCTCCACAGTCCACTTGGCCATCTGACTATTGTCTGTTGGCTCGGCCTGTTTGCTGGCAGCCCTGCCCACCACCCCCCAGATTGAAGCTTCCTCAGGCTGCCTATGGGATTTTCCACATGAACAGCCCCTGGCACTTTAGGGGCAAACAAAGGTATTTGCTGAGCGAATGAATATAAAAAAGGGATGTTGACATGAGGTCCCAGTTTGTGATATGATTACCAATTATTTTTAAGCTCTGTCATTTTCTCCCAATTGAACTGTGAGAGTAGACGCTGATCAGAAAATATTTTTCAAGAGGTTTTTTTCACTATATTCTATTTGTTGCTATCAAAAGCCTTGTTTTTGAAAGCTCGTCTTCCAATGATCAGGTTAAAAAAAAAATTCTTTGGTCCTTAAAAGTAAAAGGCGGGGTTAACAAGGCACAGCACTATTAAGCTGTCCGCCAGTCACTGCAACGAGTTTGATCCCTGGCCAGGGAGGTGACCCACATGGCACAACAGACCTCTCCTGACCACCCGCTGCTCCTTCAGCAGTGTACATCATCCACCTGCCTGTTCTGTTCCCCACTCTGTCTCTGGTGAATCCTCTCACCCCTCACACCTCTGGCCTACGTCTCAGTTCTTGTATGCATAAATAAATAAAAAATTTTTTTTTTAAAGTAAGAGGCAAAAAAATAGACTTTATTTCAAAAGATTTTCAAGAGATATTTTTAGAGAAAAAATTAAGTTAATTACAAACTTACACATTTTTCACAATTTCTCAATCTTTCTTCTCCAAGGCTGGCACGCAGGCCTGCTTCTGTGAGATGTGTTCTGAGCCTTCTGCCCACCAGAATTTGGCCTCCACCTTCCTCCTTCTCCACCCAAGCCAAGCATGAGGATGGCTACAAGGCTGGTGACAGCCATGGGCCATGGGTTCCAGGCCCATTCTGAAGGATTTCGGTATCCGACTAGCTGGGCTCTGGGGCTCTGACTGGCAATGGTGGGTAGGCAGAGGGGACCTGACGAAAACTCCAGGATGAAGCCAGCCCGCTCCCTCAGATGCCCAGACACCAGCCCCGACTCTACCGAGATCAGAGGGGCTTCGGAAACCCCGTGAGCACTGTGTTCTGGCAGGCACCTTAAAATCGACCCAATGGCCCATGTGCACGCCAACCTTTCCTAAGACCAGCTTCTCAGGTCAAACATGACACCAAAAGCCTTCATGTGTTACCTGGAAAGTCAAAACGTGCAAAGTATCCTCGTCTGCCGGACCGCAGCAGCCTGGCACACCAGCGGGCCGGGCTGGCCCAACCACAGCCTCCTGCGCTCAGGCCCCTTCCTTAGGTGAAGAGCCACAGCCCGACTTCCCAAGTGTCCCGCCAAGGGCTCTGGGGGGAGCTCCGTGCTTCCCAGCCCTCCCGGGAGCCCCCATGGCGCCTCCACCAAGCAGTCCGAGCAGCCCAGAGGCAAGGGTCGGGCTCCAGCAGGTCAGGAAGGAGATTCAGATGAATGACTTGGCCAGGGTTACCATGTGATCCACGCCACACGCCACATCCACGGGCTCCCCTGGCATCGTCACCTGGAAAGCAAGACCCAGCACACTGAGGGTAAATGGCAGGCAGACAGGCAGGTGGTACCCAACCTGGCCCCACCTTGCTCTGCTCCCCACTGCTCCAGGCCAGGCCAGGCCAATTTTCAAAAAAAGGAACATTCCTTCTCTTCCTTGGTCATTATTAGTAATAATCACGACCATCACTCTGACCACTAGCACTCTCACGCAGCTACAGTGCCTTCAACCCACCCTGTCATCGCCAGCCCCACTCCCCACCTTCCCTCTGAACCAGAAACCACTTTTAATGGGTCTCTCAATCCTTCTAGAGGTGCCAGCTACAAAGAGAAGCAGGTTTTTCGGGTGGAATGTTGAAGACGGTACCCTTGCACCTCCTCCTCCATGCACAAGGTTGCTGCTCTCCTGGCCACTTCCTGCCGGGCAGGGGCGGGGCAGCACCCTGCCAGGGGCATGACAGCTGCAAAAGGGGTCTGTGACTGCTGGGGGGGGGGGCGGAGGGAGGAAGGGAGGCCCGATCCTGATGGCCTGGCCCAAAAGCCAAGAGGCAGCAATGCTAGTCCAGAAGCTGGTTGCCTCTGGCCTTGGGGGGGTTGGAGTGGGGCGGGGGGCAGGTCCATTAAAGATCCTGATCATAAGGCAAATGGATGCTAGTAACCAAGTCACGCTTCCTACCTCTCCCTCCCTAAACAAATGCCTTTCACAAAACCCTATTAGAGAAATCACTAAACCAACAAGAAGCAGTGCCCCAGCTCACGGAAAAGGCACGTAGATGCAGGAAGCGTTCCAGGCTGGCCATGGAAGCAGAAGAAAACACACTGCCCCTGTGGCGACCAGGCCCAGATGAACTCTTAGCAACCTCCCCCGCATCAGAGCACCTTTTGTTGACCTTCCTCAGGAAAATGCACTCTCCCCCCTTCTCTTTCGGTAGCTAAGCTGCTACACTCAAGCACCTGCATCCTTGCTCCCGAGAGCTCTGGCCATTAGAGCTCAAAGCAGAGCAAACCACTGGGCCTTGGTGACTGGCCAAGACAACAGTAGAGGCTGTGGCGAGGCGCAGAAGTGGCACCCCCTCTGGGGAGCAGCGGGCAGCTTGCCTGGGGGAGCAGTCCCTCAGCCTCTCACTGCCTGAGCTGAGTCCAAGAGAAGACCGCTCTCGGCCCGGTTTTATTTTTATCCTCATCAAGGTTAAAAGGAGTTTCTATTCTAAACCAATTTACACCTTCAGCACAATTGCAAAGGAAACAGTTCCAAAGCAGCATATTTGGTCTGAGTTTGAACAGAAGCGGCTTGGGCATGTCGCCACAATTACACCCATCGGGTGAAGACAGGGAGGCGGGCGGCAGCATGCACGGGCCTACCCGAACTTACTGCTTCCCCCTCTGGGCTGCACCCGAAACTTCCCGCACTGCATGGCATGGGCTGAGAAAAGGGAGACAGCTCAGCCCATAGGAAGGCCCAGCCGCAAGTGCCCACTGTGCGCCTCTCCCGGGCACTGGGAGCGCCAGGGCCTGTGGCTACTGAGGGGTCGGCAGGAACAGGCTGGCAGGCAGAGGTCTCCCAGCTTGTGCTCCCACACCCCCGGCCCCAACCAGAGGTGCACCGTGGGGCAGCTCAACCCACGGCAGCCCAGGCCCAGCACCGCTCGACCCAGCAGGGGCCCAGGAGCGGGCCAGTCACTCGGACCCCAGCAGTTGGGTCCCCAGGGGCGTCCGCCGAGGAGCGCCCACCAGCACGCTGTTCTGACAATGAGCACGAAGGAACGCAGAGCGCCCAGCGTGCTAGTCAGCCCTGCTGCCCCTCAGAAAGGCCGCGTGCCTGTCTGCTGCAAGCGAGTGTGCTTCCCAGGGGTGGGAGGGGCAAGGCCACTCCGAGACTTCCACCAGCAGCCTGCTCCCGGCTCAGGGCTGCCTCTTGGCAAGAGGGCCTGCAGAGACACGATACCGGGTGTCCACCCGCCCCTGCTCGCTGCCCTCTCTCCACCGCTGGACCCTGAATCTCGAGTAGGAGTGGCAAAGAGACCAGCATTGCAAAGTCAGATCTACGCCTGACTCTGGCTCTGCTTCTTGCTAGCCCTCTCTGAGCTCCGAGCGTCACTGTGTTGCAGAAAGACACCTGGAATGCCCCAGAAGGAGCACTTGGAGTGGCTCAGGGGACGCTTCCTGGACCACAGCCAGCCAGAAAGCCCATGTTCTGCAAGTCTAATAGAACTAACTGGTCAGGCCCACTGCCAGACGACAAAGAAAGCTTTATTCGTTCTTGCTTCTTTCCTGGAATACTTTTTAAATGACGTAACCTAACCCCCACTGAAGATTAATTAGAAAATACATTTTAAAAAAAACAAAATACATTTTTTAAAGAATGAACATTACCTGTAATTTCTTTTTAAACTAAATGCCACAGAACAAACTGGAGATTAATCTGATCTACGAGGAACCCAACCAAGTTCACCAAAAACCTAGTTCCTGCACCAACACTCTCCCAGAGCCAGGCCGCATCTCCAAGGTCACAGAGCACAGGCCCGGCTGGGCAACGGACATCAGCACCATCCTCAGGCCTGCTGCTTTGCCCAATCCTGTAACCCCGATCAGAAGGTGCCCAGGACCAAGTGAACACCACCCAACTCAGGGCTCACAACTATGCGAGAGAGGCGGCAGCGGCCAGCAGAGAAGCAGCCGTCAGGGACAGGCCGGAGTGTGCTTGCCCTAATGGGTGCAGGACAGCTCACTCAGGGAGGGTGACCGGGAGAGGGGAAGGCAGGGGGAGTCAGGGAAGTGGAGCTCAGTCTGAACACCTAGCAGCTGCTTCCAGCTCGTAACAGAGCCCCAAGCTCGGCCTGGCCACTTCAACAGGGGAATGTGGTCAGAGCTCAGATCCTCCTTCGCGGCTCATCTGCAGCCTAATGTGGAGGAATCAGCGGCAGGCGGGAACCCTGGTCACGGCAGAGCAGCCGTCCCTCCACCCAGCTGCCAAGTCCTTTTCGGTGGGGTTAAAGAGAGGCCAGCGAGGAAACGGCCAAGAAAACAGTGGACATCTAACCTGCCGGTGCTCACTCTACCCGAGCTGCTGTGGGCGTCACCCACGGTCTCCCGGTCACGACACACCTGTCATGTAGGTACGCCCAGGGAACGGGCAAGTGAGCACTAACCAGCCTAGCACAGCTATGGCACCGTCCAAACATTTTTTTCAGCAACTTTCAAGTCCCCAATCTGACTGGTTCTCTGGGGAACCGCACCTACAGTTTCATAAAGGAGTCGGGGCTGCCGCGCGCACAGAGAACGGGAGGCTGGCCGTGGAGGGAAGGCTGAGGACAGCCTCCCGCGTAGCCAGGGCCCTGCGCATTCTGCAGTGGACTTTTAACAAACAAACCCTGAAACTTCTTTGGCACTTCTGTATGTGTTTTTGTAAAATGCTTTCTGTAATTTCAAAACATCATTAAAATTCAAGCTTCAAATAAAATATTAATGCACATGCACACACGTGCAAACTCGCAGAGACTCTCTGGAGGGAGCCCAGGGAGCCAGCACCGTGACTGCCCCTGCGGCGGGGGACTCGAAGGCTTGTTTTTGAAATACGTTCTATAGCATGTACACATGTCCCCTCTTCCTAAAAAGGGTTTTCTTTTTGACAGGAAATTTTAAAGAACTAACTGAACAAACAGCACTCAGATAAACTGCAATTTAAGATGGGACGTTTTATCCCTTTAATTTTGAAACGAGCCTTTTAGTCTATTTGCATCCTCCCCGTGAGAAAAGTCTTTTCTTTTTTCACGTTGGTGGCTATGGTAAGGCATTCTAAATATTAACATCCTGCTTTCTAAAACTCACTGTAAAACACTCCTCTGCACGGGTCTGCAAACAGCTCCTGGCACGTCAGCATCTTCATCCCCACCTCTCCCTCTCAAGCCTCTCAGCGCCATGGCCACCAGCCTGCAGCTTGCTCCCCTCTGAGCGAACTGTGCCTTTGTTTCCCTGCTCCATGCACGAGGCTTCCTGCAGGCACATAGGCCAGAAACCTGGGGCAGGCCGTAGGCTCCCACAGCTGGCTCATGGCCCCAAGGGAGAGCGGGGCAAAGCCTGCAGGCCGAAGCCAGGCCAGCGCCTGTCCCTCACCACAGTCTTACCTGCAGCTGGGCAGGAGGAAGCAGCTAGACCAGGAAGGGGAGCAACTCCTGCGGCTGGCCCAGCTGGGTGGTGCTGCCACACCACGTAATACCCTCAAGCCCACCTGGCCCAGGCTTACCCTCCACGGGAAGTACTGGTCTTCCAGGCGGCCGATTCCCAGGCAGCCCCGGATGTTCTTGCCCCACACAAACAGCTCTCCTCTGTCTGCAAAGAAAGGAAAATGTTGTCTTGGTCGGGGCAAGATCGAGGGCAAATCTCCAAGAAGAACCATGAGAAGAGGCTTTCTAGAACAGGGCCTTATGTTAAAGTTCTCACCGGGCGTTAATAGGAAGGGAAAAGCACTGTCCCCAGACCAAAACATGTCCCAGCCAAGATTCGTACTGACCATCACAGGAGCAGAGCAAACACTCAGGTAGGTGCCAAGACCCCTGCACAGAGCTCACTCTGCCTACCCGAGGGAGGGGCAGCCCTCACCACAGTTATGTCTGACCAGCCCAATAATCCTCAAATCCTGCCACACCCTTACAGTGTGAGAAGTAGGGTGATTTGTCACTCCAAGTCTCAGGAGCATTCGGTCAAGTGACAGACACTGGAGATCAGGCCCCTGTGACAAGCCAGGTCTAGATCGTGTGCTAGCAGCCGGAATCGGGCTGAGGACACGCGCATGGGTGCTGTCCTCATGCGGCTGGAGCTAGTCAAAGAGTGAGAAACAAACAACCAACCAAACCTATACAGAAGCATGTGAAAAAAACAGGGTACCATCAGCACCCTGGACTGGTGCTTGGTGACTCTCTCCCAGGCCTGGCGGGGGCAGCTTTTAGCTCAGGCTTCGTACATATCTGCTTCAGGCACTCCTTGACACAGAAGCCCCATTTTGCCATCCACCATCGGCAAAATGCTTTGGTCCCGAGAAGTGAAAGAAAAGCCAGGACTAACCGAATCCTATCTGGTGGCGGGAATCCTCTGTTACACTGTCAGTCCTCTGGTCTGACCATCAACTTGTTCTTCCACCCTTAGATTGCATGTTTAACAGAGCAGTTCAGTCTGGCCCTCAGGGGCACCTCCCAGCAGGCCAGGCTCTCAGGTGAGGAGAAAGCCAAGCTGTAACATCCTTCTGGCACCTGGAAGGTGGCTGCTGGTTCTTGGGGGAAATCTGCATCAGGATTTCTTTCGGGGTGACCCAAAATCAACTACATGGTAATGTCAGTGAACAGAAAATAGTCTAGTACTCTCATGGAACACTTCCTATGTGTTTCCGAGTATGTCTCTGCATATAGTTTAAGCCTTACAACATTCTAGAAGACAGGATATTATTACCTCCAGAATTAGACCATAATGACTCTTGCCAAATCAAAATAGCTTTTTTTTAAAGATTCATATATACATACAAGAACTGGGGTACAGGCCAGAGGTGTGGGGAGTGAGAGGATTCACCAGAGACAGAGTGGGGAGCAGAACAGAGATCATCTGAAATACACTGCTGAGGAGAGCAGCATGTGAGACAGGACAGGTCTGCGTGCCATGTGGGTCACCTCCCTGCCAGGACTCAAAACTTGTGCTGCAGGGGCTGAGGATTGCTTCACAGTGCTACGACTTAACCCCTTGAACCACCAGGGAGGCCCCAAATCAAAATAGTTTTAAAAAACTCATGTAGTGTAGATGTTTTGGAAGGCCTGTGTGGTGGGCCCTTCCCCACCCCCATCACTGCCCTCATGAACACCCATTACGTGGGTGTTTGGAGGTCCATGAACCCGAGACACACACAATAAAACTGGTGGGTGGGGGGTGGGGGGAGGCGGGGAGAGGGAGGCGTAGTCCCTGAGAATGGGGCAGAGAACATACACAAGGCCCAGACTGACTGCTGGCTGAGATGTTTAAAAAGAAAACAATTACGCACCATGAGATTAAAAAAAGATTTTTTAATTGTGAGGAAAAAGCAAATTTACTTGGAATCACAAAATTAATTTAGTGCTGCCTTACTGCTGCCAGCTAAGGAGCAGTAATGAGCCAAGAGCTGCAGGCAGGAGGCGCGCACGGCCTGGAGTACTGGCATGCTACGGCTGTGCACTCTGGCAGACCTGTGAGAAAGCCTCCACTTCAACCTTCCCGTTGATCGTCCCCTCCCCTGGCACTTCAGAGAAATCAGAGACTTATCTCCACACAACCACAGGATTGTCTAACAAATCTGCCTCCTGCCACCCCACATCCTGGCCGGATTGGGGTTTGCTAGGCCAAAGGCTGAGATTAAACCCCACACTCATTTCCTAATTACCCAGTGGATTTGGCGAAGCTGTTTTCCTCCAGTACCCTGACACACTCCAGGGTCCCCTCCTCCTCCCACCAACCCATGTCCTCTTGAGAAAATCACTGAAAGTTAGCCTAACCACAAACCAAATGAACCAAAGCAAAACTCCAGGATGAAAAAGAGATACACATTATCCAACCTCAAGCCAAACAATTTCTGGATCTGCCGCCCTTTAATTATCTGAAGCAGGACCACTCTGCTGGATGTGGTACTTGAGAGCTGCCCACAGTTTGGGGTCAAACCTAGACTGAGTTCTGCCAGTTGCAGGGGCCACACAGGCCTGGCCACTTACCGGTCAGGGCAGCAAAGTGGCTGAGTCCACATCGGATGCGGGACACCTGGACTTCAGGGTTGAACTCCGACAAGCCGAAGAGGGTGGGTGGAATCATTTCTGGAAGGGCCGTTTCCACGAGGTTTGGTCCTTTCCCAAGAATTCCATAACCCCAGACAAAAACACGGCCTTCTCCTACATGGTGAGAACACGGTCAGTAAATGGAACCAAGTGCAGCCCTCCCACACCAGCTCCGAGCTGGCCACCAAAACACGCCTCAGCCAGCGGGAGGTTTTCCTCCTCGCTTGGCAAGAACTTGCCAACAGTTATTTAAAATAGTGTTTCTTCTCTCCTCTTTGACATCCTTGCTTTAATGCAGGATGTGTGCGTCTAGCCAGCTAACCAATCTCTGAACACAAACCTGCCCAGTGAGGGGACCCTGCATGGACAGTCCCTAAGGCACCCAGCAAACCCATGAACACAGACGAGCCCTGGAAGGCGAGTTTTCCTACTAAGAGCTTGGAGTTTCACACTGATCAGAAGAGCAAGCCAACCTCAGAAACGACTCTGGCCAGATTCCTAAAACTCTCAGAAACAGTTTTTAGGTTATGGAAAGTTTAATGCCCAGTGGTGGTGCCAGATGTTCAATCCCAAGGATGCTCTTGGCATCCAAATCCTCAGCTCCTCTCCACTCTGCCTCTCCCTTCTTGGCCCCCAGGAAGGCAGGACCGAAGTCTGGCCCAGACGAGCAAGGGGGGAAAAGCAGGTCATTCTCTATGCCTTGATCTGCTATGGAATCGCCAACCTCTGCTGCCGTCTACTTGTGAACACGTAAATTATAGCTATTATCTTTATCAGGAAGTTCACCCTCACTCTTGAATGGCAGAATTCAGTCCAACTAGACCTTCCCTCAGCCTTGTTGCCTTGTGCAGGCTGAGGTTGCCACGTGGGGAGCCAGTGGACACGACTCTCCCCGTCAAGCCCACCTGCGGCTCCCAGGAACTGCCTACAAGCGTCTCACCATTTACTACAGCACAGCCTGTTCCACCACACGCAGCCTGCTCCACCTTCCCCACGCCTGAGAAGGGCAAGCACCGGGGGACATTCACCTGCGTCAAAGGAACACTGTTAGAAAGACAGGAAGGCCCTGGGAGACATTTTCTATAACAATGAGTAGTCAAAATGTCCCTTTTTCTTCTTTGTTTTGGCTACTCAGAGCTCAGAACACAATCTGCAGTCACCTCTGGCCACTGCACATTTTCCATTTTATGAACTGACCCTTGCTCTCCCTTTATGCAAATTTACTTATTAATATATGTCCAAAACCTTCTGTATGTTGTCAGATGTCTGATATTAAGGAATATGGCTGGTCTTTAAACAGTCCTGGAGGTAATACTGAAATACCTCCTTCTGGAGGTAATACTGCAGCTTTACCAAGTATGTATCATATCTAGGGTTTGCTTGAAAATAATCCAGGGCAGAGAAGCAGATGGAATTACAGATGCAACAAAACTGGCCATGAGGAGCGTGAGGCTTTGGGGAGAAGCGTGGGGGCAGAAGGGACAGTAACGAAGTGTTCCAGAATCAGATAGTGGTGACAGCCGCACAACCTTGTGGCAATGCTAAAAACCACTAAATTGTTTATTTAAAAGCAGTGAAATTATAGCTCCATTTTAAAAACGAGCTATTAGTTGGTAATTGTTGAACACAGTGGAGGGATACACAGAAGTTAATTATGCGATGAGCTCTACTTATTTATGTGTGAAACCTTCCCTAACACACTGTGAACATCCACCACCCTGTATTGCTAGTGACCGCTTCGGTGTGAAGGAGGCAGGGCCAGGGAGAGGCACGCGGCAGCTCCCGAGCTCTGCCAGTGCTCTCCTGGCTGGCCTGGGCGCCGCAGGGCTCTCATCATGCTGCCCCCATTAAAGTAGAAAATGTCTCAAGTTATGTTACAACAAAGCCTTGCTGTAGACTGAAAGTTCCAGGGAACAACTGCCAGTCTCTCAGGGCCACACACCTGACTCACACCCCTGATAACTGCTCAGTCTCCTGCTTCTGTACCCCAGCTGGCTTTAAGGTGATAATGTACCCCCCCTCCCCATTAGGCAGTAAATATCCTGTTGCCTCGGGGCTCAGACTTTGGAGAAGGATCTCCTCTGAGCCTGCTGGCATGAACAAAGAACTTCCTCCTCCTCTCTTGAGTGCTGCCTGGTTCCCTGACAGAATTCTGCTGTCACACCATGAACTGTGACGCGGTGCTGCTAAAAGACACACTCCGTGACACCCCAGGAACTCACCAACAGCTGCATATCCCTCTGAAACAAACAGGGTACAGAGACACACCCAACATACTACTCCAGCCCAGCACCGTCTCACAGAAACAGTAGTCGCAAGGGCTTCTGACCCTGAGATTCCTTTCCTGGCTCCAGAGAGATGGCCCAGACCTCGGTCCCTGCAGGCAGTCTTACAACAGTCCAGACCTAAGCAGGACTTACTATGTCTTACCTGTAATGTACAGACCTTAACACTTCTTATTTCCAAACTCCCTGCACCATGCTTAGGTGGCCTCATACCTGCGTGGAGTCTGTGACAGAAGCCAGCTGCAGGTATTCGGAGTTCCCCCAACCAAACAGGCCTCCGTCAGCCGACACAGCCAGGCAGCAGTCACCATAGGTGGCCACCTGGATGATATTGACCCCGGCAAGGTCCCCGCCCAGCTTGGTAGGTACGCTGGTGATATTGTAGTGGCCCAGACCTAACACAATGAAAAACAGTCACTTTTAATTGTTTTGTTTTGTTTTTTTTAACAAACTCACACAGACCTACTATGTGCCCGATGCAGTTTTAAGCACTTCACAAATATCTTCAGAAGTCCTAACCTGTTCCTTTGCATACTACATAATTTCCTTCTCCTTGTTCTTTCAAAGGAAAAAGAAATAATAGTAATAGTTTACTTATTATTTCTTAAGCCTTTGAAATGTTCTAAAACCTCTGAAAAGTGAAATATCATTACACAGTCAGCCTGTTAGACACCTTTCACAATACACATATAAAACAGAATAATATATCTAAGGCACTATTGGGTTTCCTCGAAAATAAAGGAGCCCTCTTAGAGCTCATCTCACCCCAACATCCCTCTCCAACATCCCTCCCCCCCCACCAAAAAAAAAACAACAGTAAACAGACACTGGTAAACAGTAAGTGGAGGAAAGCTGGGCCCCACCCCAGGGCAGCTGTCAAGATTAGCACTTGCTGGGGGTAACCCCAGGCCAGGGCTCTGCTTTGAAGCAGACATTCTTAAAGGGTCTGAGGCCACAGACAAAAACACTCCCTGGAGGAAGCATCTCCAATTTATGCCCTCAGAGACTCCAGAACTTCAATTCAAAAAATTTGAGCTTATCCCTAATTTCGCCCTGTTTCCAGAGCTCCATCGGGGTAGCAGGTTTCCTCTTTAAAAGGTTCAAAATGTCCTCCCTGTCGTGATAAAGTTTCAGAACTTCTTTGCAGAGTGGTGAATATCACCTCCAATGCACTCTATGTATCGGTTCATTTCTATAGGAGGGGGGGATAAAATGGGTGGGGCGGGACACAAAGAACAGCATTCCTCAGGAAGTGGTAAGAAAGGTTAAGAGTCAATTTAAGCAAAGAGGGGTTCTAGTCCAGAAAGCCCCACAGCTCGCAGCCCACAGTTCCATAACCTCAGGCAAAAGCACACCACCTGTCTGCCCGTCTGCACCCCATCCACAGGAGTAGACTTCTCCTTTGTCTGTTAGGAACAGACTGTGGTCCTGCCCACAGGCGACCTGTGGACACAAAGGTGAGGTCAGTGAGAGAGCCGTTTAGAGTCCCAGAGTCCAAGCAGATGGACACCAAGCTCGTGCCATCCCCAGCACTGCTGAGCCCCGAGAGCACGGCCTCCACACATCGCTCTCCTCATCCACCTCTGCCTGGTTTGTATCCCGCTCTGGAAACTGCTCTTGCTTAACTAACTAACGTGACAGGCCTCGAAGGAGCCGACCCAAGAGCTGCTCCATCCGCTTCACTTCCGAGGACCCACTCCGTCCTCCATAAACAGTTCTCTTCCCAGCTCCTCACCTCTAAAGGCAGCCAATCTTGTCACTGCTCAGCGTCTGCGTCTGCTTTCAGGGTTGGAACGCTCCCCCAAGGTCTGTCTCCTGCCCTTTCCTCTCCCCTTCACACTTCCGAAGGCTCGACATGACCCCTATGCTGCTAACTCAGTCCCTCCACTCAGCACTACTGAGTCCCAGTCCTGCTTGGCTCACTGCCTCATCAGGACGCCCTTTACAGACGCCAATGCCAGGCGCTGCGCCAAGTCAAACCACCAAAATCACCCAGTAAGATAATGAATCTCAGAGAACTCTGGCGAGTTACCCTGTCACCCAGTTAATATGTGAAGAAGCAGGGACTTGAACCTGCACACACGTGACTTTCAAGTCTATGTCAGAAGTGTACACTCTGTTGCAGCCAAAGCCTTCACTCTTCCTCCTCACTGCCTCTCCGTCCCATCCACCTAATTCTGCTCCTTCGTCAGCACTGCCCAAGTCAGGGCCATCACAGCCACTCACTGGGCACTGGCGCCACACCTGACCCCTTCTAGCTCACTCCCTGCCCATCAAGTCAAGCCCCCAATATGGCCAGATCTCCTCCCTCCATTCTTCCTCCTCCCCACGGCTTCTCCACTAGCCCTTCTCACCTCCTCCCCCAAGTCTACCCCATCCATGATCAGTCATCTTTTTGAACAAATCATGACTTGGCTGCCAGTCACCAGGCTTAGAGCCTTTGACTACCATAAAACCTTCCCTACCACCCAATCCGGTCTATCTGGTGAATTCCTCTGCCACCTCCTCCATGCCACCTTCTCTCCCTTCCACCCCACACCACCCCCCAACTGACTTCACAATTCTCCTTCTGTTGCTCTCACAGAACTTTCTGTCTGCTTTCCTTCATGTAATTAAAGATTAAGAAGAACTTACCCAGAGCCATCACTGCACCAGGAATGGGAACAAAATGGTGCACACGGGAAGGCCAGTCCGGACCTCACTGCAACGCAGTGTCCCTGCTCACGTGTGTAGCTGTCACCCCTGCAAACCTCATTAAACTTTGTACCCCCCGTCCAGTGTAAATTCTAGTCTGCAGCTAGGCAGACAATGATTTTCACCAAAATAACTTAGGAATTCAGGCCTCCCTTGTGGTGCAAGGGGTTAAGTCTCAGCACTGTGGAGTTGTGAGCAGCCCTGCAGCACGAATTCAATCCCCAGCCAGGGACTGACCCACACGCGCTGCAGACCTCTCCTGCCCCACCCGCTGCTCCCCTCAGCAGTATATTTCAATAGACGCACCTGTTCTGCTCCCTACTCTGTCTCCGGTGAATCCTCTCACCATCAGCCCCGACACCTCTGGCCTTATATGCACCCCAGCTCTTATATGCACCCCAGCTCTTATATGCATAAATAAAATAAATCTTTTTAAAACAAACTGATAAATTCAGAAAAACCCCTAACAAATGTTATCATCCCACCCAACTTTCCCCGTCAAAGGCAGCTCAGAGGACAGGACAGGCACTCCCAGTCCAGGTCTCTCACCTGCACCACCTGTCCATCGAAGTCTTCCATTCTATGGATTTTGTGACTTTCACTGCATCAGGAAGCAATTTGGAGAGAAACAAGGATTACAGTGGTGTAATCCCCATGTGGGCTGGACCCACCCCTGCACCCCTAAGTGGCAGCCCCCAGACACACACAGTAATGTCAGAAAAATTCTCGCTATCACATACAAGACAGAGTTCAGCCCAGGCATGAAGGTAAAAATCAAACCAAGAAAATCCTAAAAATGCTACCAGACTGAGTGGTGTTTAACACACCAGCATGCCATGACAAACCAGAGGGAATTTTTCTTTTACAGATAAAAGGATAAAAGGACTGAAACAGAAAATTTTTAAGCTAATCAAGAAAAAAAGAAGAAAAATGAAGAAAAAAAAAAACGCAAAGATCTACCCATTACAATCAATGAGGGCTCCCCTGTCCGCCTCCTACTCAACCGCAAAGGCAAGCCACAGCTTTCTGCTATTCCCCCTCAAGATCAGGCTCCAGCTTTGTCATGGCATAAGTGTTCAATAGATGTCTAACATATAGCACACCTTGGGAAAGGGGAAGTCCTTTGGGGAACTCACCTGTAAATTTCATTTTCGACCACCTTTCTTCCACACTGTCCATAAGAATTGTTCCCCATGCTGAAGACTGAAAAGTAACACTATGAATGAAATTAGTGCAGCTGGTTCATAGACACCTAGTGTGTCAGGATTAGAAGGGGTGCTCAAAAGTGGCCCTCGTGTGAGGCTCACCCTCTTGCCACTCAGTTTCCTCCTCCAACATTCCCAGGCTTTGTGGCCCACCCACAGGCCGCTGAGGTCTGGACAGGCCCCAACAACCAGGGCTGTCTTTCTTGTTCTTTCCACCTTCCCCTCTAAACCTAGCTCCAACTCTCAGAAAGTCCAAGGTAGGAGGTGAGCACCTCCAGTAAAAGACCCAGCACCCTATTCCCTGTCACCAGGTTACTCTCGATGACAAATGCTCTCTTGAAAGAGTTTCTCAACCCCATGTTTGCCTATTCCTATAGAACACAGTCAGCCAGAAAATTAAACTTGAAAACTTCAGTTAACCTGGCCTTTCCCTGGAATTCACTCTTCTGGAAAAGGTCAGAGTTACCGAGGACCCAGGATTCTGTTAGTCCCCTACCACCTGAGAAGTCTTAACAAATACATATTCTTCAGCACAACAACAAAAAAAAACCTTCCACACACACAGGCCACCTCAGTGATTTCTGGGCAAAGGGCATAGAGCAGGAGGACTTGGCAAGGCTCTGGTGTGCCCCGTCACAGTAGAAATACCTGAGGTTTGTGGAAAACTACAGAGGGCATAAAAGTCAGCAAAGTGCACCCAATACAGCCCTCTAAGCAACCCTGCTGATCCACCCGGGCAGGGCTTCCAACAATCAAACTAGTCACATCAGGTGACACCCCACTCCAGCAACAGTGAACAGGCCCTCACCTCCTTCACTGTCTGTCAGGACTAGAGAGTGTGCTCTGCCACAGGACACCTGCAGCACCCGTGTCTCCTGAGGTCTGTCCAGAGGCAGTGGGATGGGCGAGGGCTCCAAAACATACTCATATCCCCTCCCTGAAACAAAAACAATCAAGTTCATAGGACATCACGCTGATGGAGAATCACATTTCTAACAGAAAAATCACACTGTCCTACCCCCACACCATCACTCATTCAGGGACTGGAATCACTTACTCAAGGCGCATAAATCAGTGGCACAGCTCGGCCTAGCCACCCTCCCAATCCACTCACCACTGTTCCCACTTCATAATAGATTCTTGAGGAGCACACTTAAGTCTCATTAGACAGATCTCTTCATATGTCATTTTATAGCACTTGAATCTTTAAGGAAAGTAAAAGCATTTTCTTCCCATATTGCCCACTAAATTTCTAAGTAAGACAAAAAACAATATAGATAGTGTGATCCCACTTTTATTAAAAGGAGGCAAGGAAAAAAAAGAGGTGCATTTGCCTGCACGTTCACTTGCTCTGCTAACACAGGCTGCCCTCGGGGAAAGGTGAGGCTGGAGGACAGACATGGAGGGCAGACCCTCAGCACTACAGAAACATGTCATCTATGCAAAAAGGCAATTTTAATATCTAAACAAGCAAATAAAGAAGTTTTTTAGAAGTCACTCAAAAGAACCTTATTGTTCTTTACAGTCTCACTGGCGACGCCACATTAGTATATGTAGGGATTTCCTCTTGCAGGTTTTAAACAGTAAGACTTTGAATATGTATTCAAATATTAACTCCAGGGCTCTCCCTGGTGGCGCAATGTGTTAAATAAAGCACAGCACTGTGAAACTGAAGTCACTGCAGCATGAGTTCCATCCCTCGCCAGGGAGCTGACCCACATGGCACAGCAGACCTCTCCTGTCTCACCCGCTGCTCCCCTCAGCAGTATATTTCAGTCAATCTGCCTGTTCTGTTCCCCACTCTGTCTCTGGTGAAGCCTCTCACCCCCGCATCTCTGGCCTATATCCCAGTTCTTATATGCATAAATAAATAAATCTTTTTTTAAAAAAATATTAACTCCAGCATTCAGGCTGAAGTCAAAGAGACCTGCAAAATACGCTGTGTCTCAACCTACTCCCCATCTAGTGATTCCTCTATTTTCTCCTAGGAACCTCATGTTTGAAAAGATTTTGTCTAGCAGACAAACACATCATTACTGTTATAATACATCTGTCCATTTATATTCAAGAGTGACTGATGTAATTTTCAGATAGAGCTTTTGATTTGCATGGAATGACTGGTTTATCACAATGAGACCATGTGATTCTAGTAAAATCAAAGAAAATGGACAAAGTTATTAGCTTATATAACCCTATCAACTGAAAATACAAAGCACCTTAAAATACTGAAAAGTGAGTAACATTCCCCTTTACTATCTACAAAGACGCCTCCAGGAGCCTGGCAGCATTAAGTACATAACATTTAAAGGGAATATGACTCTACATCCAGCTATCAAGTGAAATATGGAGGATAGAGGACACAGTGAAATGGCACCACAGAGATGCATTCAGTAGAGTCTAGATTAGAAAATTCTATGCGATAGTGTGTTTTCTTCCATAAGTAAATTTTGGGGGAAAAAATTAAAATAGACTTAAAAGACCTCTAAAAGGTTTATCAATACAATGTCTGGGCCTTATTTAGATCCTGAGCCAAAATAATTTTTAAAAATCTAATGACACTTATGAGACAAGTGGCAATTTCAACACTGAGGCGTACTTGCGCAGTAAGGGCCTATAACTGTGATGTGCAATTGTGAGAATGAATTTGTGCTTAGATTTTCTAAGAGTTCTCGCTTTTTTTCCCCCGATAGATATTGAAATATCTATGAACAAAATCAATGCTGAGATTTGTTTCAAATTTAAGGTGAGAGGATAGGGAAAATGAGCTGACACTGCTGGAAGCCGCCACAGTGCACGGGGCATATGCCATGCTGCCCATGTCCGTGCGTCCTCCCAGAAAGGTGTACCAGAAGTGGCATCTCACAGCCAACAGGCTTTAATACTGATGTACAAGGGAATGTGCACATACAACTAAGTGAAAAAAGGCAGAAAGTAAAATGTATACTGTGATTATAATGATGTAAAAATCAATTTACATATATATAAATGTGGGAACAAGAAAATAAAGAACTGTCCAGTGTGTGGTTCTGAGTAACTGCTTACTTCTTTCAAAATCTGCTTCTTATATCATTTGACTAAAGTCTGCTGTTAAAATGTCATTGTGGGGTCCTCCTTGGTGGTGCACCGGGTTATAGTGTAGCACTAGGAAGCGCTCCGCAGCCACTGCAGCACAAGCTCAAGCTCCAGCCAGGAAGCTGGCCCACATGGCGCAGCAGACCTCTCCTGTCCCGCCCGCTGCTCCCCTCAGCAGTGTATAGATCTGCCTGTTCTGCTCCCCGCCCTGGTGAATCTTCTTAGCACCTTCCCTTACTTCTCCTTCCTCCCCCACCTGTGGTCTATACTCCAGCTCTTGTATGCATGAACAAAATAAATCTTTATTTAAAAAGCCATTCAAAGTCATTTCTAACATTTTTACAATCCAGGTTTCAAACAAATGGAATTCAGTCTCCATCTGAAGGGTTTCATAACTATTCAGACAATTCCAGGCAGGATGGAGTATATCCAGATAGTTCCAAGCTAGAAAGGGTAGGTCGTGTCTTTGAGGCCAAAAAGGAACGTCTTTGCTTATCAGGAAAGGCCTTTGCTTAAAGGTTCAATATTATTACCACAGTCTGAAAAATAACCAAGTCTACATGGTTTCTAACAATATCTCTTTCTAGCCACCACTATTATAGTTTATGCTGTTATATTTATGCAATCATGTTCTTAAAAACTGAAAAATCAAAGTGAGAATGTTCACCTTTATCTTTCCTGCTCCTGTGAAATCCAAGCTGAGAATCTTTGTTGAGTCCCATACCCCAAACTTTTGTGACCTCCTTGGTTTTTGAGGACAGCAATGTGAATCCATAGCCACAGGCAGCAGAGGAAATCTGAAAAAGTTTCCATACGGGTATTCATTGATGTGTAATATATCAAGTTTTCCCAGCAATAAATACATACTATTAACATAGCAACTAACACTTACTGAACATTTACTATTCAGCATGTGCCTGATATGTATTATCTTATTTCATCTTTACAATCACTAGTGTCTCTCTCATTGGTTTGTTGTGAGGACTAAATGAGTGATATTATAGCTAAAGCCTGTAAAGTACTGTTTGAACTTTATAATTCATTATCATAATTTTTAATTATTTTCATCACATTTATTATAATTTAATGTCATCAATAGTTGTAGTAGTAAGTACATGAGAAAATCAAGTAATTAACTTGCCTAAAATCGTCACACCTAGCCCTCCCTGGTGGCGCAGTGGGTTAAAGCGCAGCACTGAGAAGCTAAAGCCACTTCCGCATGAGTTCGATTCCACCTGCCCCGGAGGTGACCACATGGTGTGGCAGACCTCTCCTGGCCCACCCGCTGCTCCCCTCAGCACTGTACTTCGTCAATCTGCCTGTTCTGCTCCCCACTCTGTCTATGGTGAACCCTCTCGCCGCCCCTGAACCTCTGGACTGTACCCCAGTTCTGTATGCACAAATAAATAAATCTAAAAAAAAAAAAAGTCACACCTGACTACACAGTGCATGTTCTTAACCCTTACAGAATACAATTGCATTCTTAAACTTTACACTACCATTTTACACTGCCAATTACAGTGATTTAGCACGTCAACAGTGTCGCTGAGTGTTTTATTCATAATGTTAGCAACCTTTCACTGACCAGATGAGGAAACTGAGCTCAAACTCCCTTTCTCTTACTCTCTTTCAGTTAAAATATCTTTGCTGTCATTTAAAGAGAAGTGAGAAGTCAAACTGGTCAAATTGGCTTCTTTTTCAACATCCACCAAGATATCCATAGCCAAGAAGCTATGCTAAGCACCGTTTTTTGTTCTTCTGAGCGTGGACTTCTGAGATAAGTGAGCCCCTGACCTTTTCAAATCTGAGTTCAGTGGCCTCCCTCCCATTCCCACGTGTTTAGACGCCACCCTGCCATGCTCTCTCGAGCATCCCCCTAACTGCTCCAGTTAGCATTTCCTTTCCGATTTTTCAGAGGCAACACCCCACATTTTCTCTGCCCTTTTGAAATCTGCTTTCCGAACATCTGAACTCCTGGTCCAAGTGTGATGGTTATGTGCACCCACCAGCTACCGGACACTGGGCCGGACCCTTAACCTCTCTGGGCTCCCTTTCCACCTCTGTAACTGAGAGTGACGATCCCGACTGCCGGCGTGATGTGCGAATGCCACGAACCGCGCACCCTCAGCTGGTCCGTTTCTGCCACTCGATAAAGATCGGCGGCAGCCGTAAGGCTTCCCCTCCCGTTCGCGAGTCGGCCTCCCCTAAGTTTGGCCACCCAGCGGCGCCAACGGCTCGAAGTGCGCCGAGCGGCTGCTGGCGGTGCGGCGCAGACTAGGAGAGCTGAACCTGGCGCGGCAAAGGGTCGCGGCCCGCACCTTCTGATCCAGTTCCAGGCGGTAGGGGACCGGCTGGATCCTGCGGCGCGGCCGGCCGCCGCGGGGCTCGGGCCCGGAGCCGGGCAGCACGAACGTGGGCACGCCCAGAGCCCCCGAGAAGCTGAAGCCCCACACGAAGATGCGATCGGCGCGGGCCGCGCGCTCGCCCACGTATTGGAACACAGGAGCAGCCGCCTCGGCCTCCGCCGCTTCGCGCCGGCTCCGCGAGTGCCCGGCCGCCGTCCAGTGTCCTCGCCCGAGCTCACCGCCGGGGCCTGGCCTCAGCCGCCGCCCCAACCGTGCCCCAGCCGCCAGCGCCGTCAACGCCATTCTCCGTTTCAAGCCTCACCGGCCCCTGGGCGCCGCCATCTTGCGTGACCCTTGACCCCATGCCCCGGCGGAAGAGGCTGAGGCCACGTTTACTGCGGGCAGAAGGCACTGACGCTGAGGGCAGCTTCAGGGTGGCGGGGAGGCAGCTTCAGGGTGGCGGGGAGGTCTGGGCTGAGTTGGGCGGAGCGGAGCTGGGGGCTCGTGCTCCCGAGCTGACGGTGGGAACTCGGTTCTGGGTCTGCCGCACCTACTGCGCGGACGTTCTCCGCGGTGCAGCCGTGAGGCTGAACTCTGCCCTCCACGCGCGACCCAGGCTTGCTGAGTTCTGCCTCGACTCAGGAGTTTTGCAAAGCATTTGTGTCCACCTATCAGGGGTTACACTTAAGGGGTTGCCCGCTCTGCTCAACCCCAGGGTAATGCTCTTCAGATCTGCAAAGAGTTCTGGAGTGGTGGTTCCCCGTCATACCCCCCTCGCGATTCACTTGTTTGGCTCCTGCAAAAACAGGTGGACTCTGTCAGATAATGGTAAACTTCAGTCATGTTCCGTGACCATAGTGAGCCCCATACATAGACCAGAAGTGTAGCCGGCTCTTCCCTCCAGGTTAGTGTAAGCACACTCTATATAATGTCTACACAATGAAACCCCTCAAAGACACATTTCTGAGAACCTATCCCTGTCATTAAATGAAGTGTGACTGTTTACAGAACTTAGCCCACTGCATAGCCCGAAGACAGCTGCTGTGTTGGGGCGGGGTATTTTACTGGAACAGACACACCACCTCTGGAACTTCTGTGGGTCCAGTTTATTGAGTGGGCCTATTTCAATATTAAGGGAGTTAGCCTATATGGAAGGACAGCTTTTCTCTTTAGTAATCCCTGCTCTCTTATTGCTCGTGCCTCCCAAATAAGTATCCTTGTACCAGATGTTGTTTCTACTCTACTTTTATGGGTATAGATGAGACATATTGATAAAGAAGAAGTATAAAAAGATTATAGTATTGGGGCTTTCTAGGGAACAGAGATAATAGGAGAAATAGGAGATCCACGCCCGCGAAAGGATCAGAAAAGCCTGTGGTAGGGTTCTAATCCAAGCCCAAAAGTCTGGGAACCAGGACCCCCAATGGTGTAAGTCCTAGTTTGTGGGCAGAAGAAGACCAGTGCCCCAACTCAAATCAAACAGGTAGGCAGGGAGAGGGGGAAAGATTTCAGCCTTCTTCCACCCTTTTGCTCTATTCAGGCCCTCAGCAGATTGCATGAAGCCCACCCAGTTAGCAAGGGCTGGACTTCTACTTTACCAAGCCCACCAACATAAATACTGCTGTCTTCTGGAAACACCCTCACAGACATCCAGAAATGATATTGAAATTTTTATCAATATCCAGTAGAATTGATACCTAAAACTAACCATCACAACTATTAGTAGAGTTAATTATTTAAATGTGTATTATTAATTATAAATTATTAATATAGTTATTAAGTAAATAGTTAAGAAATGTGTGTAGGGCTTTCTTTCAGAAGAGGAAAAGTCTTGTATCTGAATTTATGGCCTTTGTGAATATTTTCTGTTTTTAAATATCTGTTCTTTTAAAACCTGGCAAAGCTAGAAGTTTTTTTTAAAAATCTTTGGAACCTCCCTGGTGGCACAAGGGGTTAAGTCTCAGCACTATGAAGCTATCTGCAACATGAGTTTGATCCCTGGCCAAGGAGGTGACCCACATGGCTCAGCAGACCTCTCCTGTCTCCCACTGCTCCACCTCAGCACGGTTTTTCAGTCAGTCCACCTGTTCTGCTCCCTACTCTGTCTCTAGTGACTCCTTTAACCCCACCCCCCCACCTCTGACCTACACCCCAGCTCTTGTATGTATAAATAAATAAATATTTTTTAAATAAAAAAATCTTTGTTAAAATTTCATATGTAGATCATTGGTTTCTAAAACATTTCACTTTTAAGGGAAATCCAAATACTGGGAACAGTGGATTTGAGATTTGGGAAACAAAATAGCCCAGCGAGGGACTCTGCAATGTGAGCCTTAGCCACTGGGTGGCGATGCTTGCCCACCAATTATGTGGGTCTTGCTCCTGGATAAACAGGATAAAACAGCCTAAAGCTGGTTTTGGCCAGTTGGGATTTATAGTCCCAAATTGGCTTTTATAATTTGCTATCAAAACATGGTTTTATCTACTGGCCACATGCTGGCTGATAAATACTTATAGTTTGCTCCAAATTTTTGCTTGAAAAGGATGGTACTATAACAAAATACCAGCTGTCCCCTAAGTATTAAAATGGCTCCTAATGTTAGCCAGGCTAAACTTATACTCCACCTATAGTGAAGTTTTTCTGTAAGTGTTCTCATTTCTCTGTTACTTTGGAAAAGAGTGAACTTGATTTTTATCAACATACACAATTCAAGGCCTTCCTGGTGGCATGAGGGGTTAAGGAAGCACTAAGAAGCGACCCCCAGCCATTGCATCATGGAATTCACCCCCAGCCAGAGAGCTGATCCACATAGCACAGCAGACCTCTCCTGACCAGCCCGCTGCTCCCCCTCAGCAGCGTATTTCAGTCAACCTGCCTGTTCTGCTCCCCACTCTGTCTCTGGTGAATCTTCTCACCTCCACCACCTCTGGTTGACACCCCAGCTCTTACATCATAAAATAAATCTTTAAGAAAAAATATATAATTCATATCTGGTGCAGTACCTTAGTAAAATAGTTTAAAATTATATATGGATAAGGCTAAAATCTCCTGTACCTCCACCATATCTTCACCATAGTTCCACATGTATCTATTACCATAGAAAATAAATCATTTTTTGCATGTGTTTAAAGGAAAGAGTGCAATATCTTATCTCATGCTGCAACATCCTTTTTTTTTTTATCATTGTTGGGAGTGACCAAAGAGTCACTGACAAGAACTGAATTAGGGCGGTAAAGAATTGAGCCTTGCATCCAAGCTTGATAAGGTGGTAATAAATTGACCTTGCATCCGGGATGGGACTGGCTGAAGGTGATAACCAACTGGGCCTCACATCAAGGACACAGCGATGACTCACCCCTTTGAAATCTGAGCTTAGGACCTATACAGGAGACCCTTCCCCCTTAATGAGTTGGCAGTAGCTGCGGAACCCACCCAGGGGCTCTGTCTCAGCTGCTGTCAGGGAGCAATAAACTCTGCTTGCTCAGCCTTTCTGCCCCCTGTCTTTCTTCCTTGAGGCCGGTCACAGATGCCGGGACAAAACAATCATATGTTCTCAACTTTTAAAAAAAATTATATAATAGTTTATTTTTATCATCATTGTGTGCCTTTTTCCATCTCAGTTGTAATCCCCGTGGGCTTCTCATCACCAAATCACCCGTGTGCCATCACCGTAGGCCAGGGCACTTCCTTCCCCTCACCGTTTTTGATCCCATTCCCCACTTCACCCCCATAAAATGTCTCTGGTATATAGTTGTTCATTATTATTATTTTCTCCCCTGGTCCTTTATACTCCTGCTATGAGTGAAACCATCTGGTATTTTTCTTTTTCTTTCTGGCTTATTTCACTAAGCATTATCCCTTCCAGCTCCATCCATGTTGCTGCAAAAGATATGTGTATTTTGGGGTGTTTTTTGTTTTTTTTTTTTTTTTTTTGGTTGCTGAGTAACATTCCATGTGTATAGCAACATCCTTTTTTTTTTTTCTTAGCTCTACATTGGAAATAATTTTCTA